CTTCCTTCCTTCCTTCCTTCCTTCCTTCCTTCCTTCCTTCCTTTCTTCCTTCCTTCCTTCCTTCCCTCCCAGGCAGTTAGAAGCTGAGTTACCACTTCAGCCTGCAAACATTTAAAGGGACCTTTAGTTCAGCACCACAACCTCTACTTTGTACCGTTGCCCTGTGTTCTGAGCCATTTTCCCCTGCATCACCTTGCAGCCAGCGTGGAATCCAGGAAGGACAGGGTTCACTGATAACATCTTGTGTCAAGAGTCAAAACTGCTCCCCGCAGACCACAATGCCTTTCTCATAGTGACCAGGTGCCACTTGACAGCACTGAGATGATCGACCAGACCAAGGCTGTCATGGGAATCTTGAGTTACTACCCATTGAGTAACTACTACTCATCCCAGCCTCATTCCCTCTCTATTTGAACCTAAACCCCAGGGATGGGCTGAAAGCCTCTGTCTCTCCCTACAGCATGCCCTATGCTACATTAAAAAAAGTCATCGTTCTCTGTCCTTCAGCACTACTGTATTTGACCATTACAGCAAGTGAGCAGACATGAGAGGCTGAAACCTTGGAATGAGTCCTCAGGCCTAGAACTCCCACCGACAAACAGAGATTTCAGCTAAGTAAACACGGAAACGCAAAAAGGTCATCACCAACTTCATTCAGCGTCAAATTGAGTTGAGAAATGATCTTTCATCTTTCCTAATTCCCTGTAAGCAGGCAGCATGTCTGATCTACACCACAGCTGGAATGTTCTATACAGAACTCATTTTATCTGGGGAAGATAAAAATCTCCAGTCTTTACCTCTCGCTCCTGGGAACCCATTCTCTCCAGGAGGTCCTGGTTCCCCAGCCTTCCCCTTTTTTAAAAAGATGGCCATTTCTCCTTCAGCTCCAGGAGGTCCTCTTGTTCCTGTAGGTATTCATTATACAAGGGAAAAACAAACACACATATTACCCACGCAAGTCATCGGTTACCATGTCGCATTCCCACTTACAAATCCCCATTCAACCTGCTCAACTGTATGCCTGAGAATGCATGGTGAGTTATCAGCTAACTAATGCCCAAAGGAAGCTCTGCCCCTTTGACACTGTTGTTCCTGCTGGTCTGACGTTGTGATGATTTGGGGGCTGGTGCACTATGAGTGCTCAGTGAAGAAGGCTTGCTGCAGTCCGCCAAATGGGTCTTAAGGTCTTTGGTGAGTTAAGTTGCATTGGAAAGTTCTAGTCTACATTACAGCTTATCATGTAGGATTTGAACTTCCCATCTCCAATTACTAGACTCATATCTTCCCCATTGGAAGACATCTCTATTCTCATAGCTATTGTACCTATGTGGTCTTATCCTAAGAACATTCTCCTTTGGTCTCACACTGTGAATTCCTAGAGACCTGTATAGTTTATCAAGTCCTAGTGTATTTTTTTCTTTTACCCCTTTGTCTTGTTTGTCCATTTAGACGCCTTTGGGAGGGTAACAGAGGCACAGAATTGGTGGGACAAAGGTTGGACAAATGTGGTAAGGATACTAGACACTGTGTTGAAAACAAACTATACAACTCATGGGTGGGGATGGGAGGGAAACACTGGGAGAGAGCAAGGGAAGGGGTGACACTGTGCAAAAAGATCTATTCTTTATGATTTATGTACCATAACCCTTTGGTACATCACGTGTACAATAACAATAAATTAATTTTAAAAAATTAGGTTGAAGTTGTGGTTAGGTGGTGATTGCCTTTCTTGCAAACATGAAGCTCTGGGTTTAAATCTCAGCACTGCCAAAATAATAATAACAGTAATAATAATAATAATTAATATTCAAAGAGTGAATTTGCAACTATATATCTGACATTAATACAATTTTTAATTCTTGGTGGAAAAATTGTATAATCGTCTAAACACACAGCAAACATCACTAATTTAAGGTAGCAAAGAGTGATTTTTTTGATTCCTCCATTCTACATAAAAAATGTATAAACTAACGAAGAAAGAAATAATGGAAGAATAAATCACTAAAGAAGAAAAGTCATTTGAGTTAAACTGAGAAGCTTTATGGACAAAAACTTCCTTCCTAAGAATTGTCAAACATTACTCTCAACACTAGAAATATTGAAGTAGAGATGACACGGAACATGGAAATTGGCGGTCACAGCACTTCCATTTTTACAGTAATGATAACTTCGTTGGAATGAAGCTGGGGCAACTCAATCCCAGGCCACTACCAAGGCATTCTGCTTGAGAACTCGGCCAGTTACAGCTCACGGCTCAGCCCCTCCTGCTGCAAATTCTTCTATTACTGATGATGTATAGTTTCTGCATGTTTAAATGGTGAGGATCAGGGGAGGGGACTCAAAACACCAAACAGTATCTTGTGAAAGTTAAGTACTTGAGAAAATGGTATGAAACTCAAATTCTAATGGCCAAAAGAAAATGTGATTAGAAGATGTTTCTTTTGTGGTCACTTGCATATTGTCTATGGTAGCTTTCCTGCTCTAAAGACTGACTTAAGTCATCATAACAGAGTCTGCAAAACTTGCAAAGCCTGAGATCTATTATCAATCACGTTCTTTACAGAAAAAGTTTGACCAATCCCTGATTTAATTGAAACATGGCTTAGAGGACAAAGCCCTGTCTGTCCCCTCTTCTAACAGGTGGAGAAGTTGTAAGCCAGTAGCTATAAATCAATGCATTGAGAACCACTTGTTGCATGGTGCTGGTGGCTGATACCTGTAGTCTTAGCTACTCAGAAGGCTGAGATAGGAGGAGGATCACAGTTCTAAGCAAACCCAGACAGAAAAGTTCATGAGACTTTTGTCTACAATAAACTATCAAAACTCAGAAGCAGAGCTGTGGTTCAAGTGGTAGAGTGCTAGCCATGAGCAAAAAAGCACAAGGACAGGACTGAGGCTTGGAGTTCAAGCCCCTAAGGCACATACATACATGCAGGTGCATGTGCCTGTGCATGCACGTGCACGCACACACACACACACACACACACACACACCAAGGAACTACTCATTAATTTTCCACTAAAAAAGAACCATTTATTTACCACAATTATATGTAATAAGATTGAGTCACAAGGAAAATGAATTAAAGGTCTACAGTAAACACCATAGAACTAAAGAAAGCTAAGACATTTAAATTTTAAAAATAGTCATATTTTATTCTTCTAAGACTATCTTAATATGGTCTAAGCACATTTTTAAAATTACATCTGTGCGTTGTTAAATGTGCTTACCTTTGGCACCTCTTACTCCTTGGTCTCCTCCAAAACCAGGCCAGCCCTTCTGTCCAATTTCTCCCTTTCTGCCAGGCAGACCCTCTCGGCCTGGAAGTCCTCTTTCTCCAGGAAATCCAGGGAAACCAGGCAGGCCCCGGGGCCCTGATGAAATGAGAACATTAATTTTTTAAGGAAAATGCTAGAGAGGTTGGTGTGATTCTTCCGTAGGTGTTCCTTGTGGTTCGCTTAGAATTACAAAGGCCCACCACCTTCTAGGCTTGCACTGAAAGTAGACAGTCGTTGTCAAACTCATCATGGCTGCTAATGGTTTTGCCCTCTCACCCAGTCCTGCTTTCTACCTATGGGTACAACATGTAGGTCCTAACACTCTGGGGTTCTAATCCCATCAAGTTTTCACAGCAGGAGGCTAGAGGCCCAGCCAAAGTGAAATGTATTCCCTTGACCTAGGACTCCATTGGGTCTCACAGTCCTCTGAGCTGAAATACCTCTGATCTCATGAACTCAACATCCCTGGACCTTTCAACCATTGAACTCCACCAAGATATTCTGCCACTGAAAATAGCAACGGGAAGATAAGGGAAAGGGAGGCACCAGTAAGGGGAAGACAAAGTCAAGCTAACATAATGGCACATGCTCCAAGTGGGGTCCTAAGTAGCAGGCTTTTCTTGATCATTGATTCATAAAATAGAAAGCAATACTGACAAAGTACTACTTACCCTTTGGGCCTGGAAGACCAGGTAACCCATCTTCCCCAAGGGGGCCTGGGATTCCTGGAGGTCCTAGGAACCCATCGGCTCCAGGCAGACCCGGGGGTCCGGGAAAGCCCTTCATTCCAGCCGGTCCGGAAGGCCCTGCTTCGCCTCTCTGGCCTTTCCAACCTGGGGCACCTGAGGTACAACCAGATATGCGGACTGAAACCTCAGCAGGACACAGAGACTCCAGAAACGTAAATTAGTTCATCCAAAGCAAAACAGTACTCATTGGCTTAAAACAATAGTAGCAACTCTATTTTTAATGGAAATGGATAGGGGTGAAAAAAAATTCATTCATGTTTACTCTTAGAGAAACTAATAGGGCAGAAAAGCTTACCAGGTATTTCCTTCACTGTAATGAAAGAATTGTGAACATCAGAGCAACATCATCATCATGACTGCTGTTAGATTAGGCTGTAGAGACAAGTTGGGTCCTAAACTTATTACAAGTTTTCAAGTGCACATCTTGCATTTGGATAAAAGGAAAGGCAGCCAGTGGCTCGTACCTATAATCATAGCTATTTAGGAAGATGAGATTTACAAGATTGTGGTTTGACACCAGAAAAGTTTGCTCGAATGAATCTATGTGTCTCCCAGTGTTAAGATACTGGAAATTCTATGAGGTGCATCAATAACCTCATAGAAAGCCCTCATGAATACTATTCGTTCGTTCGTGATCTTTTAAAGAACATTGTGAGCTGTGCACATGCTGCATGGAATCTGTGACAAACAACTCCTTGCCAGACACTTAATCCTCTGGTCCCTTGATCTTGGATGTCATGTCCTCCTGAACTGCAAGAAATAAATGTATGCTGTTCATAAATCACCTAACCTAACACATTTTGATACAAAAACCTTGATGGACTAACCCCTTAAGCACCTCATGTGAAGATAGACATTTACAGGACTTCTATACTCTTTTATGTCTTCCTGGTTATGTCAAAAATGCAAGATCCTGAGGCTCTAACTGGCCTATTTCTCAAGGCTGTGTTTGCAGCAAACAACTTTGAAAGGTGTGACAGCGCATTGCCCAATACAATATTCAGGCTTGCTTGAAGACTGCTATGAAGCAGTGCTGCTGAGGTCTGCTGCTCCTCTCAAATAATGCAAACCACTGCGGCTGTAGCATCTAGCCATCCACATATAGGATGACATGGAGAAATGACACAAAATAATATGAACTATAGAGGTAATACAGTCTTTTGCCTCTGTCTTGGAACTTACAATTCTATGAATATCTACAAAAAGAATAAGAGATGAGCTTATTAATTTATAAGTAGGATAAATACCCTACTTACACCTTCAAGTTCTTTATACCTGTTGGCACTTACCTGGACTACCAGGAGCCCCAGGAAGCCCTGGCTGGCCTGGGATGCCCGCACTGCCTTTGCTACAGGACTGGCCAGGTGGGCCTGGAATACCTGGGAAGCCAAGGCTTCCCTCTCTGCCTCTGGAGCCTTTGAGACCCGGGGAGCCGGGAACGCCAGCTGCTCCTGAAATAATACAAAGCATCTGCAACATGTGTGGGTTAAAACTGTGTAGATGGCCTATACTAAACTGTTCACACACCTCAGTACTGAAACAGACATTCTGATCCTGACTCAAATAAGTTCCCAACTCAAATGAGTGGATTTTTCTACTCATAGATTTAGTGAACTCCAAATGCCTGGAGATCCAACACACAGTTGAGTTGCTTGGTATGGTCACGTGGATGAGGAAGAAATTATTCAGGCAAGTAATCACGTGGTTTTCCTGCTTCTAATTAGCTTCTACCATTACAACGGTTATTACATCAAATATATAACATTTACAAACTTGATGGGCATTGTGTGAATTTGCATTTTATAGATTTTTTATCGTGTGTACTCTCAAATTTCTGTCTATTGGAAACAGGATGTCATAAATCTTCAGAAAGAAAAATAAATCAATTATAGTCCCAAGCTTCAACCTAAAAGCCAATTTTACTTTTCTGTTTCCATCATGTGTTGTTTTGTTTCTATATTAAAAATACTAATCATAGTTATGGTCATTGGATTACTTCATAATGTGTAGGAATTGGCTAAGTTTTTATGCTTTTGATTTGTTATAATATTTACAACTGCACTGTTCCTTCAGCTAGTAGCTGAAAAGTATTTCTTGGAGTGTAACTCTTATTTCCAATGGTTTCTTTAACTGAAGAGAAAACAAAGGTGTTTTCCTATCTAGATTAGATACAGGAGCAGTAGTAACCTGTCAAAAGTCCCTTCTTGATTCATATATTTTCTTGTTACCTTTTCAATTGCTTGTTGCTTTGTATTCACTATGCTGATGAACAAAACACCATGTTTGCTTGTCTTAAAGTAAAGGTGGGGCTTTACTCCCCTCGTGCTCTCTGATTGGACTGTACCGCTAAATGGGGTGTGGGTCTGGTTCCATGGCTTTCTCCTTTCAGATGCTCAAATCCACAGAACCTAAAATCGCTTCTCTAAAATGGCACTTGCACAGAACACATGCACACTCTCTTGAAATCATCTCTAGAGCATTTGTAATATCTAATATGATGTTCACAGCTGATGTATTGTATTGTTATTGGAATAATGACCACAAAACATTCTATACATGTCAGTACAGATACATTTTTCTTCTAAATATTTTTGATTGGTGTTTGGTTGAGTTAGAAGACAGGAAAACCCACATTGATAAGGACCAGCTCTCCTAACTTGCCTAAATAAACTGGTCCATTCTCTGTTGGGAAGAAGCCCAAAGAGTGTCTGGTGTGGGACCCACACGTTGACCACCATCACCCAAGGGACTCCTGGAAATTCAGACTGCTGGAATCAAGCCTAGATATAAAGGTTCAGAATTTCAAAGGCTAGGGCCCTGAAGATGGTCATCATAATGACAACCCCTGGGTTATATTTATGTTCATTAAAATTGGAGAAACTCCACTCTAGAAAAAGTCTTAATTTCAGAAAAAGATGCGAACCAGTATCCAGGCCATCATGTACATCATTGTTCTACCTGCTGGAGGGAAAGCCCCTCATTTTGTCACCCGTGTAAATGCAGTCTGTCTGTAGCCCACAGAGCTTCCCCTGAGCTCCTCCTCCACTGATCTGCCTTCTGAGTTGCTTGTCCTGATACTGGCAACAGTAGGTGGCTATCTGGTCCCTGCGCTTGGTCCCTGCTCTCGGAGCTAACATAGTGGTCCATACCCAAGGTGGGCTGACATGCAGAATTGATGCATGCCACTGAGCTGGTGGAGACATACTGTGCTGACTTGCATTTGAACATGAGCAATAACATCCAAAGGCAGCATTGGGGAGGCAATTATTTGACATGTCATCATGCCTGTCTATGAAGGTGAGGCATTTATTTTGTCTATCCAAGATGAGGTAGTCTAAGCATTATTCAGAGACTTATTCCAAATTGAAGGAGGCTTCCTAGACTGTAGGAATCGCTGAGATGCTCATACCTTCAGCCCCTGGGCATCCTGGATGACCTCTGGCCCCCTTCATCCCTGGCACTCCTGGGAGACCCCTATTTCCAGGGGGTCCTGGGTGACCAAATGCAGACTCTCCTGGGATTCCTTTCTGACCATCTACTCCACGTCGCCCGGGAGGACCTGGGGGTCCAGGGGGAGAGGACCCCTTCTCCCCTTCAAACCCTGGGTCTCCCATGTTACCACGTAAGCCTGTTGAACAGCAACAACAACAAATTTTAATTGTAAATGCACAGGATAGAACTAGTACATGTAAGACTTATTTTGCTAAAAATCTCACTTCTAGGAAACACAGGAATATGTACTTACTACTTAAAAGATATTTAATAAAAATGTATTTCTATAGCCTTAGAGAAACAGTAGGGAAAGGTGTTCTTGTCCACTTTATGGAGAAATGAATTGTAATTCTGTGTTTCGTATGTCAGCAATATTTCCCTAATTCTTTTCTTCATATTGTGAGCATTCTGAACTGAGCAAGCAAAGAACTAGTATTGGCCTATAACTCACAAGTAAAGAGAAAGGATCGTGGCAGGATATAAAATGATTGTGAGCTCCAAGTTGTCACAACACAGGTTTAAAAGTTTAATGTATCGAGAGCTATTTCCCATTAGCTAAGGCTGCCTCTTATTCCCTTAAAGTCATTCATTTTTTTAAAAACGATTTAAAAATTCCTGATTGAAATTTCCAAAGTAGAAAAATACTTTGTTTACCAGGTGGGCCTGGTATTTTTGATGCTCCTGGCTTGCCCCGCTGGCCTTTCTGTCCATCCAAACACCTCTGCCCAGGAGCACCTGGGGGGCCAGGAAATCCCTTCAGACCTAAACAAGAGCAACACAACACAGACCCAATGAAGCACAGATCACATGGAAAATGGAAACCACTGCTTGTGCTAAGTACCTTTAAGGATATGTATATTTTATACCATTAAGATATTACCTATCATGGATCACAAAAGCATTCTGTGAGTCCTATGCTTCTAATCAATGCTTCACAGAGTGCTTTTGTGAAGGACAAAAACATGCTAGATACATTCACAGCAGATTACTAAATATACTTATCCAGAAATTAAAATGATAACTTTTAAAATGTAAACCAGTGTCATAGACCCCAATTAAAAAAATTACTTCCTAAAACCCTTTGGGATATCTTTATTTATATCTATGTATCTATATATGTATCTATATATGTGTCTATGTATATATATATATATATATATATGTATGCATGTACGTATATGTGGACTTATGCATGCTTATATTATGAATCTATCTATGCATATGTCCTATGTATCATTTTATCTATATGTCATTTATTCCTGAATCATCTATCTAGTTAGCTAGCTAGCTATCAATCTATCTGTCTTGGTGTTTTTGTATGACAGGTATCTAACACAAATCTTCGTGCCTTATGCAGACTAGTGTCTGGCCTAAAGAGAAAACACGAGAGTGAAGGTCTGTGAGTCACTGCATCTGCGCTTACATAGCGTAGAGGAGGGAAGATGCCAGCAGCAGAATCTAAGATTTTATTTTAAATCTCTGAGTTTCTACTAAGAGTTATCTCGGCTAAAGTAATGTCTGGACTGCGAACTTCAAAGACGGGACAAATACCATCTTAAGGCGAACATTCAGTGGAAGCTAAAACTGCTGAAAGCAATCAAACATGTTTCATTCAAGCATGACAAGGGATGCATGGAAATGAACACTCAATGAGTCAGCCAACAGCTCTCCTGCTAACTTGGACGTATGCTTCTACTCTCTCACCATTGCCTGTGGCTCTTCTATCTCTTTGACCTAGGACTCAGTCGTATGACTCAATTTGGCCAGTGAGCTATTAACAGCTGTGAATCAGTCTGAGATGGGAAGTAAGCCTGTGCAGGTGTGCCAGCCTCTTGCATTTCTGCAGTCATATATGGAAGTTACCCATTGCCCCTACGCTGGAATGTGGATTGCTAACCTGAGTTGCTGACTAGGGCCAGAGACTAAGCAACCATCACTATCTAACAGATTATAAAAGCGAAACTAACTGCTTATCTTCCTACAGCATTGAGATTTCAAAACTGGTAGCATGTATAGTATCATAATACAAGCAAATGACTATGGATGGCATAGTCATTTTATGGACTTTTTTGGACCTTTTGTCTGTTTAGAAAGTTGAGAGGAAATGCTGACATTCAGGGTGACATGATGGCACTAAATGTTTTCCATTCAAGTATTCTACTTTAAAACTTATGTAGGTAAAAATAAAATGTCTTTGGTCATAATAAAAAAAAAAGTACTAACCAGGCTCTGCTGGCTCACATCCGTAATCCTAGCTACTAAGGAGGCTGAGATTTGAGGATCATTGTTGGAATCCAGGCAAGGCAGAAAAAACCATGAGACTAGTGGAGCTAACAGGATAACATCAGACTTGAGGGAAAAAGCTAAGGGCGAGGGATCAGGCTCTGAGTTCAAGTTCCAGTGCATGTGCAGATAGATACTTGGAATTTGAGTCAGATTAAAAATCGATCAGAAAGAATCAGATGAGAGAAAGTACATTCAGGGACTCAGGTAGGAGGGTCTTTCAGAAAATTCTGGTCAGACATTGGCCCCATTAGGAAGCAGAGGAGAGTAAAATTTATAGTTTATAAACAGGTGGTCAGGTATTAATCTTGGGACACAGAAAAAGACAGTCTGAGCTCCAACTTCTCAATGGACAGAAATTTCAGCTGATGAATGATCAAGTTTTATTCTGCAGAGATTTGAAAAGCATGCTCATACCAGTAGACTGGAACTCTGGCTGCTAAATACCATAAATATGCTTTTCCCTAGTCCCATAGTCCTGAAAACAATGCTAGAAATGCCCTGACTGGTTCTCAGGATTTAGTATTTTTTTTCTATCATGTGGAACCGCTCCCTGATCACAACAACAACAACAATAATAATACCTGGAGGTCCATCAAAACCTGGAGGGCCAGGCTTCCCAAGGTAGGTCACATTACAAAGAATGGTATCACCTGGAAAAAAAAGTATCATTTACACAGCTGAGAGCCTTACGCAGTAGGAGTCTCAATGATAATCCATTCAAGCTATGATTCCATGCAGTGTAGGGAAAGGTACAAAGTAGACTCCCAAGACTTATTAGATCACTTAAATGGCCTTCATATCAAATGTCTAGATCTGTCATGAAATATGATTTGCAATTGTCTAGAAAGATAAGAAAAGTACTTATTCTAAGAAGTATCCATTTCAATAAGCTAGGGAAAAAAAGAATGTATTTCTAGGCCTAGGTTAATTAAGGTAATTAAGAAACATAGATAAACCATGATATAGTGGTAAGGGGCCAACACTGAGTTCACAAGACTTGGCTTCAACTTTCTACATCAGGGTCTTGTACAAAGGCAGCGATCTGGGCTACATATTAATTAAAGCCACCATTTCTATTGGTTCATAAAGGCCTAGAATGGGCTGGAGATTCAAATATCTTGTCTCTTGCTTTTCTAATGACTCGACAAGGTTGTTTTTAGATCTCCATTTAAACAGGTGAGAACAATAAGACTCCAGAGCTTATGCTTCTGAGCTCTGCTACTAAAATTGAAGGTTTCACATTTATAATATAAATAATATTGCATAATTTATTACTTTATATGCTCTCAAATCAAAGATGTATGATATGAATAAACTCATATTAGATTTTTTCTAGGTCTTAGAATGTATACTTAATCAAATACAAAGATATTGGCCTTTCCCTTGTCAAAAGAGAAAAGCAAATATATTCTTTTATTTCAAAACTTTAGAACAATATAAGCCAAAGCATATGTACGCATTCCTAAAGAAAAAAATTTCTCCAGTAAATCCTTTTGCTACCTTCTTAAAGAGTCTCTGCTATAATGCTGAAAGTAAGTTAATGTTTAAATTTCACACAACTGTCAGATATGTTTGATATCTTGAGTTTAATTTTTTCCCTTCTAACTGAATTTTCATGGACAATCATGTTTTTCAATGAAACACTAGTGTTTCTTTTATGAACATTTGCTGCATTATCTCAAAAAGATTATAAAAATAAATACTTTGAATATATATGTGTAACTTTAATATAATCAAGACTTATGAGCCAATACTGAGAAATGAATGAAAAGCAATTTTGGAATACCAAGCTAATAAAGTAATGATGATAACTTAGCACTTTGAGGATTTGTTTTAAATATGCGTTGTGCTGCATTGCTTTTGTTTGCTTGAGATTCTGCTAAATTTAAATAGCACTTGATAGCAAGTTCACTTAGTGGGGTGATGTAGTGATAATAATTTTGTTCAGAAGAAACTCACTTTAATTCTAGGTAGTCACAATGAAACAAAAGAAGGACACTCTTAGGAGAGGAACACAAAAGTGAAATGCCTATTTGCATCTGGTCATATAAAAAACTACTATTCTATGGTTTCCCTTATTTGCAATGACTAGTATATGTCTGGGGCAAGCAGAAAAGGTCAAAAAGCTATGTACATATGACCAGATAAGATGATGTTAAATGAAATGAACCCCAAGATAGGGTACAAGTAGTTTTTTTCTTTCTTGCTATTGTTCCTAATGTATTATAGTGTATCATGTGATTTTTTTTGTTTCTTTGTATGTTCCTCCCCCATGGTATAACCCCTGTTTTCACTGTATTTAATGTCGGTACCCTGTATCTTGTATATACACTTTTCTCATTTGGGGAGGGGAAGGGAAAAAACAAAATCCTTAAATAGGGACACAGGTTGACCCATTGTAACAATGAGATACAAAATACTATATTGAAAAATGAACTTTACAATTTAAGCGGGGAGGGGGAGAGGAGAGGAGGGGGGGAATGTAGTTGTGGAGGCGGGAGGGAAGGGATGGTAGGGGAAAAACAAAGGAGGAGGTAACAATGCTTGATAAGAAATATACACATTACCTTGCTCGTGTAACTGTAACCCCCTCTGTACAGTATTTTTATAATAAAAATGTATTTTAAAAACTACTATTGAAATAAATTTCAGGAAATGGAAGTGAGAAATTTTTTCTTTGTTGTTAATGTTCTTTTCTTTTTGTCTTGCTTGTTTGTTTTCTGCCTTTGGAAAAGGAAATGGAGGGACAAAGGGCAAATAAATGCAGCAGTGGTACTCACAGGAAACTGTTGAAAATGAACTATACAACTTGTGGGTAAGGACAGGAGGGAAAAACTGGGAGAGAGGGAAGGAAGCGCTGACATTGTCCAGAAAGAAGGAAGGAAGGATGGGAGGATGGAAGGAAGGAAGGAAGAAAGGAAGGAAGGGAGGGAGGGAGGGAGGAGAGAGGAGGAAGGAAGGAAGGAAGGAAGGAAAGAAGGAAGGAAGGAAGGAAGGAACGGAGGGAAAGAGGGAGGGAGAGAGGGAGGGAAGAAAAGAAAAAAAAAGAAATTTTCTTTAGCTTTCATGATTTCATTTGACATTGTACCACAAAAACATTCAAAATTACCTTTCTGCCCCTTGGCGCCATCAGGGCCCCTCACACCAGGGCGGCCTGGCAGTCCCGGTTTCCCTCTCTCTCCTGGTGGACCAGGGTATCCCAGCCCTGGAGGCCCCATGGGGCCCGGTTTCCCTGGAGGGCCTGGTGGTCCAGGAAACCCTTTAGCACCTGGGATTGCATCTTCGTGACCGCCCTGGAAGGTGTAGACATCAAGCATCAATTACTGATCTTTGAAAACTCCATGAATATCAGGCAATCATTGCAAGCTATAGAAATGCAGACAGAAGTCCATAATTCAAAGAGATAGTTCCTCTGTAGGAAGTGTAACTTCAAATTATTAAGTTAGATTCTTCCTAATGTTTTACAAACATAGTTGCACATTGACATACACATACACTCTACAGGTACATGTGCTGAATCTTAGGTACAGAAGGTTATGAAAACCATTCTCAATGCTGAGTGAGAACACATAGAAATAAGCAAGCCAAGGGAGCTGACAAACGTCTGAATCAAAAAGATTCTTCTCTGAAGTTGCTTTCTTACATTCTTCTGAAAAGGCTCCATCACCCTCCATGTGTGTGGAGAAAGGGTTAAATTGTTCTCCCTTCTTCATGACAGTTGGACCTCTGGTTGATTGCTTGGCCTTTGTTCCTCTAGAAACCCTATAGTGAATCACCAGCTGTATTTCTAGGCAACAATGCTTATGTATGTCTGGCTGGAAAATTTTCATCTGGTCTGGAAAAAAACTGTAGATATGTGAGCTCTATTGGATAAATGTCCAGGAGTGGAATTGCTGGGTCAGGGTAGTTTATGCTTCATCTTTTTAGAGAAACCTGCATATTGCTTCCCAGAGTAGTTGAACAAGCTTATAATCCATGTAATAGAGTTCCCTTTTGGCCACATCCATGCCAGCATTTGTTATCGTTTATTTTCTGCTGCCAGCACAACCATGTTCATTGCAGCACTGTGTATCATAGCCAAGATATGGAATCAGCCCAGATGTCCCTCAGTGGACAAGTGGTCAACAAAATGTGGAGCATATATACACAATGGAGTTTTACTCATCCACTAGAAAGAAGTATATTGTACCATTCTTAAGGGAATAGACAGACTTGGGAAAAATAAAATTAAGAGGAGTAAGCCAGATCTATAGATTGAAACAAAAGTTGTATGGTTTCTCTCATTTGTGGTAGCTGGCATGTGCCTGTAATATCTATAAGCGAATACACTGGGTGGTATGCAAGTGGTTACGAATGAGTTAACTCAAGTATAATAGACTCTATGGAAAGCACAAATAATCTATGTTTTTTAAAAAGACTGGGTTGAAGCCCAACAAAATTAACACCAGGAAATGGATACATGCAAGAGGGATTTGGGGCAAAGGGGCGAGGGGCAGATGAACGAAGAGGGAACAGCAGGAAAATGCAACCAAGAATTCATTGTATATACCACAAAATTAAGAAAAATAAGGCAAGGGGAGGGTCAACGTCAGATGGGAATATTGAAGGGGGTAACACAGATTAAGAAGCATTGTATTCATAAGCTGCCTTGTTAAATGGCAAAAATTATAGATCTATACATATATATACTACAAAATTAAGAAAAGTGAGGGAAGGGGTGGGTAGGGAGGAGTCGGCGGGGATGTTGAAAGGGGTGACATTGATCACAGTGTATTCATAAACTTCTATGTTGAATGGTAATTCCTTTGTACAACTGCTTAAAGATGATTAATATATAGATATATTGATAAAAGACTCGTGGGGAGTGGAGCACCAGTATAATCACATGTATAATCTTAGCTACTCAGAAGGCTGAGATTGGAGGATCCAATTTCAAAATCAGCCCTGGCAGCAAAGTCTGTGAGACTCTTCCAAAAAGCCAGAAGTGGAACTGAGTTCAAGCCTTATTACTAGTACACAAACAAACTAACAATAACAAAAGAGTTATGGGATCACTTGTTGGAGATTCCTTAAATAGGGGGCTCCTTTCTGTAAGTCCCACGTCATTTGTGGAGACCCCAGAAGCTGGGCAGTAGGCTTAACAGCTCCTGAGAGAGGAATGGTGCAGTCAAGTCAGAGCTGTTTGCACAATGATCACAGGTGGATCTAATCTTCTTCTACACTAAATGAAGGGTGCTCAGAATGCTGGATCCTCTCCTGCTGTCAGCCTGGGCTAGTTTCCATCCAGGTCTGTAAAAATCCTGAGGTTTCAATGAATGTAGGAACCCCCACCACACCCACACACTCCCCAGTGAGTGTTTCAGATATTCTTCGCCAGTCTCATCCATAGTTAAGTACCTTTCTATGTTATTGGTTTCTCAAAGATTTTGAAGTAGAAAGAGTGAACACAACGAACTTTACAATTTTGGCTGGGGCAGGGGAGGAGATGGGAAGGGATGAGAAGGGGAAACAAAGGAGGAGGCAACAATGCTTGATAGGAAATGCACTCATTATCTTGCCCATGTAATTATAACCCTTTTGTATGGTATTTTCACAATAAAAACAAAACAATGCTCGCCAAATCTAACCCTGACAATTTTCATGTGCTTGATCCATCTGAAAGGCTAGAAGGAATCAACACCACCAAGTCCAGTCCTCAATCTCTGACTCTTATCCATGCATATTCTCTCTTGCGGATCTCTGTAAAATCAGAGCCTGGCCCTTCCCTTTTACAGCACTCTGTGTTTTCCATTTCCTGGGGCAGATAGCACTGGCTGGGCCAGAACAGTGCACACTTGGGAATGCAGCAGACCAAGAGTCCTCACTTCTATTTAGCCTACCTGACAGATGAGTCACTTTGAATAAAATACTCTAAGCCATCATTTCCTTACTGCAAAATTGGGAAGGTAATTGGCCATTAATAGACTATCATTACAAGCATCAAATATCTAGCTCATTTTCTGTAATGTCTAAGCATTCAAAAATAGGTTATATGCCTAAGATATTTTAAGTTCTTAGCAACAATCATGTCTCCTACTGTTTTAACCTTCATCACCAGCACATTATTCACCCATCATTGGTCAATGGGGTTTTCTAAAGCCAATATTTGTCAGTTCAGCGGATTCGTACCATGTCACCTACCCTCATGTATTTCTTCATCAGGAAACAGAGCTAAAGCTTAGGATCAGAACTTGTGCTCAATTGCAGACCCCATTGTCCACTGATTAGATCTACACTCTGTAGGGATTTGCAAGATATAATCATCCCAAAAGAAAATAAACTCCTCAAAGACAGGGGACACAAAAATCTTCCCATGACTGAACTACTATTAAGGATTTTTGACCATCTCAAATTATTCCACACCTTTTCTAACAATTACCTTTTGGTGGCAGAGAGCTAACAGGCCACTGGTGACAGCATGTTGGTAACAGAGGCAAACATACATGAGCACAGGTAAAGTAAGAAGGAGAAAAAAGAGGAGACCTCATAAGAAACTGGAATTCTATAGCAGGAGAATTGTACATACTGGGGGTCCTGGCTCCCCTGTTTCTCCACCGCGTCCATCTTGACCATGCTGTCCTCGCTGGCCTGGAAATCCTGGGGGCCCATCAGGTCCTCTTTCTCCTTTGATCCCTAGAAACAGAGGCCGAAAGCCATTCAAGCTTTTATCAGCAAGGAGTTAATATAGAAAAAAAGAGAGGAGTAAAGATAAAGACAATAGCGTTGACTCTGGGGAGCTTGGTGGAGTTCCAGTCATCTAGAGGGTGAATGATAATTGCCAAATCGATTGAATCTCCTTATTTGTGAATTTCCCCTTTATCCTCGTCAGTAGAGGTAGAACTACCTTTTGCCTGAGGTGACATTACACAGTGTTCACTTCCTTGTCCCCAGGGAAGGGAAGAACAAGCATAATTAGTGTCTTGCTCTACACAAAACAATCCTTTCTGAAATTACTTTTCTACCTAAGCTGACCAAGCAAAACTCTCTTCATTGCTGACTGTATAAACTTGGGCTTCCTGGAACCCTGTGTCCCTCCCCCCTCCAAAATCCTTTGGATTCATTAAAGCTATGGCTTAGAGATTCTTGTCTGTGACCCAAGGTCCTGGACCTGGGTATTCCTGAACAACCCCATGCCTATGCTTTCATATTTTGTTTAGGTAAGCCATTGCATTACTCTTCTTCTCCAACCTTCTTTAAGCTAAACATCTATTATTTACAATTAAAAATATTCTTGTGCAACACACAATACTATAAAGCAGTAAGTAAACAGCAGGCAAATGAACGGAAGTCTTGCTTCAAACACAAGTTCATTACCGTGAGGATTTGAATCCATGACAAAAGGAGCACTTGCATTTCCAAGGGCTCAACATTGGCACCACTTTAGGGAGGGCAGAGAATCATTTTTATGCAATCTCAACTATTGTAAATTATAGAGCACTGACCTTTGGTCACAGGGGAAATTAATGTAAGAATGAGCCATATACCATTTTAAAGATGTCACAGGTCTCAGTGATTACTCATGCTCACCTTTAACTCTTGCTACAACCATGTCACCCTTTGTTCCTTTGAAGCCAGGGGGTCCCAGGGCACCAGGTTTACCCTTGTTGAGAAATAAAAGAGCAACACATTCATTCATTATGATGAGTCGAAACTCTTGACATTCATGTATATCTAATCTCTCAAAAAAACTCTAGATGTTTCATATTATCCAAGGTGGAAAAATGACCCATCTGCAAAACCCTATGCCCTACAGTTCAGTTATTGTTAACATCTACCTTTTATTTTTCAGTGCTAGTAATGGAATCAAGGGCCTTATGCATGCTAGGCAAGTGCTTTTCTGTTGAGACACATCCAAGCCTTTTTAGCCATTCCTTTGACATCATCTCTTCCCACTTTGCCCCTTGGTTACCCTCTACTCAATCCCTGATAGATGATCATGGACTTTGTTACCATCTGCCACACTGTGTGCATGCACATGTGTACACACATGCACTGGTCCTGGGCTTGAACTCAGGACCTAAGCATTGTCCTTGATCTTCTTTGTTCAAGGCTAGCACTCTATCACTTGAGCCACATTTCCACTTGGGGCTTTTTTTGCTGGTTAATTGGAGCTAAGAGTCTCATGGACTTCCCTGTCTGGGCTGACTTTAAACTGCCATCCTCAGATCTCAGCCTCCTGAGTAGTTAGGATGGATTATAAGCATGAACCACTGGAATCTGGTTTCTAGTTTCAAATCTTACCTGCAGGTGATAGACCTATGATATCCCTGAGGAACCTGTATTGAGTTTGGTGATCTTTAACTTTGGCTGCATATTAGAAATGCAGAGCCACTTTTAAAATAGCAGAACCTAACATTCCAGGTCTGGTCACAGGTGGTATTATAATAATAATTATTATCATCATTATCATCATATTTTATGATAATCTTAGAGTTTGAACTCAGGGCCTAGACACTGTCTCTGAGCTATTTTGCTCAAGGCTAGTACTCTCCCATTTGAACCACAGCTCTACTTCTGGCTTTTGGGTGGTTAATTGGAGATCAGAGTCTCATGGACTTTTCTGCCTGGGCCAGCTTTGAACCATGATCCTCAGAACTCAGCCTACTGAGTATCCAGAATTACAGGCATGAGCCACCAATGCCCAGCCATACTAATATTTTATCATCAGTCTGTTGAAAGGTCTATGTCCTTTCTGAAACTCCAGGAGGACTGAGGCTATATTTGATCCCTGTACCTGAAACAGTGCCAGGAACACTCAAAGGATAGTGATCAATTTAGTAAGTTAGTCATGGATGGGTGGATGAGTGAATAGGAATAATTATTAAGGTATTAAGATATTTATAGCTTCAAAACATGGAGTATGTCTTGCTTACAATTCCAAAGAGTTATAGTAATTCTAACTCGGTCTTGTTTCCCTGGAAAGACTACAACTGGTGGGAATTACTCACAGGGGGCCCTGGAGAGCCTTCAGCACCAGGTAGGCCTGGATCACCTTTTTCTCCAAGCCAGCCAGGGAGCCCTAAGTCTCCTTTCCTCCCTTGCCTCCCGTGAGGCCCTGGGGGGCCACGGGGACCCATGGGGCCAGGTTTGCAGGCACAGAGTCCTTGGTTTCCTAGACAGAGAGAAAAGGCAAGCATTGTCCTTTTTCCTATTCAAAAAGAACTTCAATACAGAAACCAATACTGTGAACAGAGAACAAAAAGATTCTGATGTGGTCAATCTTCACTGGGCCAGGGCAGCTGGACAGAGTGTGGGTGGCCTTACTGCAGTGGTAAAATGGGTCTATAGTTTCCATTCACATGTGTTTTGTGTGGTAAATACATCCTGAAAAACTAATATTTAATCCTACTGAAGAATTGCAAAGTATTTGGACCCCACTGAAGAAACAAATACATACATTACGGTATAAGCCATGAAAATAGATGATGATGATGGTACTAAATATGGCATGTTCCCTAGCCATCAGGACTTTGGTTATTGTTGGTTGTGGGGCTTGAACTCTGGGCCTGGGCACTGTCCCTCAGCTCTTCAGCTCAAGGCTAGTGTTCTACCACTTGAGCCACAGCACCACTTCCGGTTTTCTGGTGGAATTGGAGAGAAGTGTTTCACGGACTTTCCTGCCTGGGCTGGCTTTGAACCTTGATCCTTAGATCTCAGCCTCCTAAGTAGCTAGGATTACAGGCATGAGCCACTGGTGCCCGGTTGCCATTAAGACTTTTAACCCAAATTTTTTTTAGCAAAATCAAAGGCCTCTGTTGTGTCTATGTTCTCCTAGTTCCTGACTCAGTTGTTCAAAAAGGCTCTAAATGTTTAGAGAACAGAAGCACAGAGTTCCAGACATCCAGTGTCATGGGAAATAAGGCCACTGCAGGGTGGTAGAGCCCAGCCCCTCTACTATTCTCAGGGACTCAAGAGGAGCTTGCCAGCAAAAGTTGCCACTTCATGTGATATATGGCCTTTATGCTTGAAGAGGCAAGGATTTGAGTTTTAGGTGACTTGATCACATTATAGCACCTAGTGAAGTAGATTACTCACAAAGATCAGTAGCCAAGGTGAGAAAGAGGTCTCAATGAAATGCTACCTCCTGTGTCACGTGCATAGCCCCCAGTGCTTCGCATGTGGTATGTAGTTACTTTAGAAAATCTATCATCTGTTACTTACCTTTCTCTCCTTTGGAGCCTCTTCTTCCTGGTGGGCCCATTATACCCTTTATTCCTGGTGGTCCAGGGTAGCTAACACTGCACTGTATCACTGTTCGGTGGGAGAGGGGTGGATGGACAGAATCACATCGCTATAGTTAATGTTTTCTGTGGAACATGAGTCTCTTTCCCTTCCATCCTCCCTCCTCTGTTTCCCTTCATAGCCCCATATGTTGTTTTATTCTTCCTTCAGGATTCTCTATCTAGGATATAAAGAATATGCTTACAAAAAACGGCATGTTTGGACTGGGAAGGTGGCTCAGTGGTAGAGCGCTTGCCTTGCATGCATGAGGCCCTGGGTTCAATTCCCCAGCATCACATAAGCAAAAAGAAAAAAAGCCGGAAGTGGCGCTGTGGCTCAAGTGGTAGAGCGCTAGCCTTGAGCTGAAAAGCTGAGGGACAATGCCCAGGCCCAGAGTTCAGGCCCCACAACTGGACCCCCCCCCAAAAAAAAACCCAAAATGGCATGCTTTCGCCACTATAAATAGTGGTAAAAGTCAGCTTTAATCTCAGTCCTAAATTTGTGGTCTACAGAACAAGATAGTCTACAAGAACCTTAAGTACCAAAATAAAAACACCAATAACAAAAACATAACTCTAGAGTCAGTGTATGGCATAGACATTTCCTCCTTAAATTCTCAATCCTTAAAAATAATTCTCAATCATTAACCAACTAACAACAACAAAAACAAATAATGATCACAGATAAAATGCAGACAATCAATTCTACATTCTGCTCAGATTCCAAGAGAATAAAAGACACATACTTTGTCTCACCAAAATAAATAAATAAATAAATAAATAAAAAGGAGAGAAACTAGGGAAATTACTTCAGAAATTTACCCCAGAGTTTACGGAGTAGAATGACAGAATGACAGATTCAGAACTAGGTTAGGAAACATTTGAACAAGAGGGTATTCTTTCCAAAAATTGCAGCAGCAAAAACAAAAACAAAAACCAAAATCCAGGCCCTAAAATCTATAGGAAACAGACAATGAAGCAAGAAGAAAACTTCAAAAGAAACTACAGAGCCAAAATAGCTGATAAAGGTGTGCACTCAGCCCTGAAACCTGAACAGAAAACAGCATCACTAAGAAAACCCTTAGTAGTAAAATCTGTGTTCATTATGATTGGTACAGAAATTTGCAAATTTAGAAGGATGGAACATGGAGTGAAGTGTGGGAAAAAAAACCTTCTCAAAAGTTACTGATAAGTAAAGAATAAAAATAAAGATTGAAAGATGCAAAATTAGTAGTTTTTCTATTTTGTTTTGTTCTGTTTTCATAAGTTCTTTTATTTGCAACTTCAAACAATACAGTTACCGGAGAACTGAGAAGTTATTCTTGAATCTGAAGTGTGTCAAAGTAAAAGCCATACCATTATGGAATACAAGAGCGTGATAACAAAGAAAAGTTCCTAGAAGTTTCCAGGAGAGAAAAGAGAGTTTAGACAAAGAATCTCAAGTATCTAAATGTTTTGAAGGTTTGTAAAAACACTGAAAAAGACGAAACAATTGAGAATTCATCCTTCAAAATCCTTCAGGAAAAAGATTTCTAACATTTTATATTCAGCAAAGTTATCAATCAAACTCCACAGTAGGACAGAGGAAGATTCCTCAGTTTTACTTCCTTATTGGTACTCTTTCTGAGAAGTATAGCTGGTAGCCATTGAAGTCAATCTGAGTTATGTGAAACAAAGAAACAAGCAAATAAAAAGACAGGAGACAGAGAGAGAAAGGACAGAGAAACTTGTGAGGAAAATCTCAAGGCTGTATACCAGCAATAAGTTTCAAGTCCAACCTGATCTAATTTGAATAAGTTAAGAAGTTCCAGGGGACGTGGCACTGTGGCTCAAGTGATAGTGCTAGCCTTGAGTTGAAGAGCTGAAGGACAGCAACCAGGCCCAGAGTTCAAGCCCCATGACCAAAAGAAAAAAAAAAGTTCTAGGGAAGATTTTACCAATAAGATCAATAAGCTGATACTGTTACAAGGTTTAATGGGTTAATGTATAAAATGGTCAAATGCACACAACTCTGGATAGTTTGAGTTAAATAATTACAATGATAATCAAGCAAACATGCAAAGAAAGCAAGACAATTTACAAAACATTATGCTGAAAAAAGTCAATACAGTAATAAAAATATACTATTATATGGCTCTGTCTGAGAATAACCTGTAATTGTTCAATATAAACACTGAATGCTTAATCAAAATTATGACACTAGCTCTATCAGTAGGCTGAGGGATGGGACATGTGCACACATGCATTGGTGAATAAGAATTAAATTCATCTTCTCAAGGGGAAAGCCAATAGATCATGCCAAAGTAAATAATGAAAAAACTGGCGTTCCAAGCATGTTGAACAGCAATATAGAAACAGTAAAAAATGATACCAGCCACGTGTGTGGAAATAATTGTCTGTAGCACGTAGGACTAGAAGACACTACCTTCTAGCAACTTCCTAGAGGACAAACAGAATCTTAAACCAGACCCATCTATAACTCAAATAAAAAATAACCTTCAAAAATTCTTTATTTACCAAACTCCATCATTCATACTTCCTGGTAAATAATGGCACATATTCTCACTGATGTCACGGTCCAGCTGTTATTTGTAAAAAGGATTTTAGTTACTAATGTAGCTTAGAAATATACAGCTTTAAACATGTGTGGAAGGTGCTACTTTGTGAATGACCCTGCCAGTGTCACTACAGCATAAATGCGCGTGTGGGTGAATGAGGACCACTTTACCATCCGATCCTGGAGGTCCCGGCTGCCCTGGTGCTCCTGGAAGGCCTGGTGGCCCGGGATGCCCTGGTTTTCCAGGGGCCAAATCCGGTTTCCCAGGAACCCCGGCTTCCCCGGGAAGGCCTGGTGGACCAGGAAACCCTGGTGGCCCGGGAGGCCCTGGGATGCCTGAAAGAGAAATTAAGGATGAAAAGCACACCTGCTCTTGGAGTCAATGTTTCTGTAGATGAAAGTGAGGTCAGCACATTCTTTGTTAGGTCCCAGAATTGGTTTTTTGGCCTTTTTAAGGGAAATGAACAGAGCTAGAGGACATTGTGAAATAAGCCAGACACGGAAAGAGGCATGCACATGACCTCACTCATGTATGGAATCTACAGGGTCAAGTTCATAGAAGCAGGGAGTAGACCCAGGGTGGGGAACGCAGGGAGGTGAGTAGTATTGACCTAAAGTTCAAAAATCTTAATCAGGGGCTGGGAAGGTGGCTCAGTGGTAGTGCGCTTGTCTTGCATGCATGAGATTCTAGGTTCGATTCCTCAGCATCACATAAGCAGAAAAAGCCGGAAGTGGCGCTGTGGCTCAAGTGGTAGAGTGCTAGCCTTGAGCTGAAGAGCTGAGGGACAGCACCTAGACCCAGAGTTCAGGCCCCATGACCGACAAAAAACAAACAAACAAACAAATCTCAATTAGGCAAGGTGAGGAAGTTCTGGAGAAGTAATGTAGCCTGATGGAGATGACAATACTGAATTATACACTTGATGTTTCTAAGAAGATAGAGCTTTAAAAAACAATGAAGATAGAGCTTGACTGAATGGTCTAACCACATGTGTGTGTGTGTGTGTGCATGTGCATAGTAACTATGTAGAAGTGACAAATATGATCATGAGAACATGGTGATCACTTCACAATTTACAGCAGAACATCATGTTTATATCATGAATAGGTACAATTTTCATTTTTGTCAGTCATGGGGCTTGAACTCGGGACCTGGGCGCTGTCTTTGAGCCCTTTTGCTCAAGATTAGCACTCTACCACTTTGAGCCAAGCTTCACTTCCAGACTTCTGTGTGCTTAATTAGAGAGGAGTCTCATGGGGACTTTTCTGTCTGGGCTCTCTTGGAACTGCTATCTTCAGATCTCAGCTTCCTGAGTAGCTAGGATTACAAGCACGCACTACCAGTGCCCAGCTTAGAGAATATTGATATCAAACATATATAAATAAAGCTGTTTTCTTTTTTGCTGTTGTTTTCTTTCTTAAGGAAACTATTCCAGATGATGGCACATAAAAGTGATAGGGGAATGCTGGGCCCAGTGGCTCAAGACTGTAATCCTAGCTATTTGAGAGGCAGAGGGCAGGGGATACCAGGTGGAGGCCAGCCACTCCAATGCCAGCAGTGGTTGGGTGTGGTGGTGTGCTCCATGTCCCCAGCTCCTGAGGAATCCCAGTTGTTGGGTGTGGTGGCACTCACCTGTCATTCCAACAACACAGCCAAGTGTGCAGTCCAGACCAGCTTGGACACACAGACACTATCTTGATAAGAACCAGTGCAAAAGGGGCTAGAGGCATGGCTCAAGAGGTAGAGAGCCTGCCCACCAACATGAGCCCTGAATTCAAACCCTACCATCATCAAAATAATGATTTTTAAAAAAGAGGTAAGGAAAATGAGCCACATTTTAAAAGTTTCTTTTATTTTAGGCAGACTACTAGCTATAAAGTATGACCTATATCTTAATACTCCAAATACATTGCATGAAATAAAAACAAGGAAAATTCAGTTTAAAAATTACTGAATATCCCAGGCTACCTCAGCTCCCAAAACAATCAGACAAGTGGAAATGGACAGGTTTGAGGACTCAGATTTCTCATTCTTTGGAGTTATTGAACAAAAATAGATCTTGTTAACCTAAAATTAACGTTTTCATGACAGTAAAAGTAATCTGAACAAATCCATTAGCACAAATTAACAGACATAAACATATGCTCACATCATCATTTATGTAGGACATAAAATACTTAATTCTCGTAGTATCTCAGGTTGAGCCAGATGCTCAGAGGCTTATAGTTCGAACTTCACCTTTCCTCTGTAGTCATCAGAATCTTAAGCAGTCATTTAATTATTAACCTTTTCATCAGCATCATAGGTGAGTCCATTAATCCACATAAGGAATTTAGTTCAATATCTAATGATGGCACATGCTCCACGGATGCTCCATCAGGTTCAAACAAGGTAAACAGGTAAATAGGTTAACCTTGCTCTTGATTTCCTTCCAATCTTGCTCTTGACTTCCTTCGCCTTTTGCTGGTGTCCTTGACTTAAGTGTAATGGGAGGTCTCTGGCTGAGGGTCACTGCCTGTCACTGTCTGGCTGCATCGTCTTTGTAGCAGACTGAACTGCTCAAAGATGTCCTCACAGCAGTTCTAGCTGCACAAGTTCTTTTAAAACCTGGGTATTTCCTGATCCAAAGGCAGGGTGTCACTCCCTCCTTGTGAACTGTCCCCTCTGATAAGTGGATCAGCTCCCTCCTTGTGAGATAAAATACCTGGGGACTTAAAGACCTGAGTTACTGCATAAATAACTCACTTGTCCCAAAGATCCTCCCAATATCGTCAGGGCCTGAATGGAGAAAGAATCCACGTAGAGAGACTGAAACTAAATGAGACATGAAGGAAATACATGCCCAGCCAGACTCGAACCTCAAGTCCCAGTATCTATGTGATTCTAAGAGTTAAAAAAAAACCTCTAAGTCCAGAATGCTCAGCTTAGCTAGTCCTTCCTAAACTCTTGAACTATAGAAAGAGTGAGCGGTAAATATACATAGCTTTTTTTCAAGCCACTAGGTTTGGGGTAATTTGTTCAGCAATAGACAACTGGAACTTCTCAGTAATCAGCAAAATAGCATAGGGGGTGTGGGTAAGTTAATGATTTTATTCTTGGGTGCATATGTCCTAGGGGCTCACGTGTATTTGTAAACATTACCTTTTTCTCTTTAAAGAAACCTGAAAAAATCACACTTCATAGATTAAGGCACAGTAAATTTAGGCCACCTATCAAAAATATTAGGAAGTTTCACTGTGGCTGAAGTAGTAGACTGCTAGCTTTGAGCACAAAGAGGCTCAGGGACAGTGCTCAGGCCCTGAGTTCAAGCCCCACAACAGGCAAAAAGAAAAAGAATATTAATAGATGACACAATGAGTCTTTACTATGTCTCATGCTGATTTGTAAGGATTATGGACATATACCTTCTGCCAGTTCTAACAAGGCTCCATCTTGCAGATGGAAAAACTGAGGTACGGCGAGGTTCAATAAATGCTTACAATTTCACATCTTGTAAGCAGTAGAAATTTCAATGGTTTCCTTCACATCACAAACTCCCATATGGAGTTTGTACAGACCCTAATAATGAAAGCTTGATTTGAAGACAACTAATCAAACAAATTGTAGTTAGAGTTGAATAGCTCAAGAAACTTCTTAGGACATCTCAGTAAATATAACAACGACCATCAGCTGGAATAAATTGTACTTATTGACTTGCCTTCTCCCAGGCCTAATCAGCTGTCCTGAGTTCACAGAAGGAAAATATCCTACAAATTCTTGTTGCTAATTTTAGAAGTATTAACCAGCCTGGTTCCCAAAGAGATTTTTCCCTCCAGGTGGCGCTGTGATACTTCTTAGGATTTTCATCCGGTGTCACTCTGACCTAGAGTTTACATGGGATTTGCTTCTATTTGGGTGAAAGATTAGGAGATGCTTTTAAAAAGTTACATCTGAACTAAAATTTTACATCTTGATCATAAGTTTTCTTTGAAAATTTCACATAGGAAATGTAAATTGGGGCCCAGGTGAATGGTAAGAATTGTAAGAGTGCTTGTTAACAAGGAGAGATTTCTACAATGGTAGGTAAAGAGGAAACACTGTAATATATTAATCCTAGTGGCAGTTCCAATTTTATTGTTGCTGTTGCTTGGCATTGGGCTTTGAACTCAGGTCCGAGGAGCTGTCTCTTAAGTTTTTCTCTCACCTCCATTTCTGGCTTTTTGGTGATTAATGGAAGATAAGAGTCTTATGGACTTTCCTGCCTGGGCTGGCTTCAAACTGCCACTCTCAGATCTCAGCCTCCTGAGTAGCTCAAATGGATTGCAGGTGTGAGCCACTAGTGCCTTGTTTCCAGTTTCAAATCTTATCTACAGGTGATAGTTTGGGAGAGGTGTCTTACAGAAATATAGTCCTCATAATATCCCTGTTTGGCTAACTTTAGAACCTGTATTTCTTCCAAATAAATGATTGATTAGTTTGAGTTCACTGATTTTTAACCTTGGCTACATATTAGAAATGCAGAAGCACTTTTACAATAGCAGAACCTAGTATTCCAGGTTTTATTATTATTATTATTATTTTACTATTATTCTTAATGTTTTGTGACAATCCTGGGACTTGAACTCAAATCCAAGGCCCTGTCTCCAAGCCATTTTTCTCAGTGCTCTAACACATGTGGAGCCACAGCTCCACTTTTGGCTTTTTGGTGGTGATAGGAATCACACAGACTTTCCTGCCTGGGCTGGCTTTGAACCTTGATCCTCAGGTCTTATTTTATTAGTACCTAGGATGACAGGCATAATAAGCCAACTACTTCTGGGCACCCATCACCTTAAAAGTTTCCTAAAGCGATATTATGAGCTCGTGCTGAGGATTACTCAGGTGGATGTGATGTCTGAAATCGAATACATTAAATGCAATGGATCCATACCTGGACAAGCCACCCCTGGTAGGCCGGGAGGGCCTGGGGGACCTAGTGGTCCTATGGCTCCCATTTCTCCCTGGCGGCCTGGGAAACCTGGGTCCCCTGTAGGACCTGCCAGAGATAAGAATAAACACATGTTTATGTACATGGTGGTGTGCAATGTCTAGTTCCTCCCCACCATTCCAGTGGAGTATCTCAGATTGAATCCCCTTCAGCCAGCCTTTTTCTGCAGACCCATGGACTTTGAATAGAGCTCCCAGATACCAATAGCCCCCTTCCTGTTCAGCATTTTGGCAGGAGTTAGTCAAATGATCTCATGCACTGTTTAACAGTGACAAAAATACTTTCTGAAAGATAACATAATCCACATCCAAGCATGCATCATATAAAAGTGGATGTCTTATACCAGTAGATACAAACACAGATGCCCATTTCTACCTGAACGTATAGAATTACATCTCGATGCTAATATTCATGTGTTTTGCCTGCATAATGTGAAAGCTACAGGAACACTGGGCCAAACTCTTTGGTGTGAGCCACTCAAATCCCATTTCTGTATGAAGTATGGAAGAACTGAATGGAATACAAACCTTTAAGAGGGACGGGCGGGGTTACCAAAATGCCTGGTGGTCCCGGATGTCCACGTTCTCCAAGGTCCCCCTAAAATTATTCATTCACTTACTTTTCTTAGAAATAATGGTGTCATCTGACGTTAAACAAACAGTGGAAGAGCCATAGCACCTTCATTTTAACAAAGTAAAGATTAGGCTGACTGTGAAGATGAATGATTTCACAGAGTTCAAGGAAAAGCAAAGATGCATCCAATCTCTTACCTGCACATGCAAATAAGCAATGGACTGACAAAGCTCTCACAAAAGCAAATAATTAATACCAGTGAAATTATTCCATGATCATAAATTAAATACCTCTAAAATTTCTTGGTTTCTTTGATATACTATGAGAATCCATGTGTAAGATGGAATGCCAGTAAAAAATGGTTTATTCACCCAGCAAGATCTCAGTCTCCATTTTCTTCTAGTATGAAAATACTGTCTGTCTTAATTATGTCCCCTGAGGGCCACTGTGTTTTGTCCTGATCCAGTGCTGAGTGTGTAGTTACACACAGTTTAAACAGAAAATAAACAATGTCATGGTAAAAACTGAAGTCCGCTCTAAAACCCTCTGTGTTTCCATTCTCAATATCCTTGGGTCCCATGCAATGTTTGAAATTTTTATTGTTACTCACTTTCAAAAGAATTAGTTCTCAACTGTAAACAAACATGCTAGCATGGCAATTCATATGAAAATAAGCATATGTGACATGCATATTTCATAAATATGTACCAGTGGTGTGTACAAATTTAACTCTGGCTCTTTCAAAAGTTCTATTTGATTCTGTGAAATATTTTTAAAACTGCATTTGATAACGTAAGGGTTATAAAATTTTATCTTGTGTAGGCTCACTTTTTTACCTTTGGGCCACGCAATCCAAATAGCCCGGGCTCTCCAACCTGTCCTTGTTCTCCCTACAAACACACAGAAACATGTATTTTTAAACAAATGAATAGGGTTGGGTAGCAAATTACCTCCTCCTCATTTAATTCGAATCAGAATGCTCACAGAGACTGCAAACTCTTAACACTGCTCTGAGTTGCATCGAGAGTTCTGCTTTGGCATCCACAGCTAAATCCTGCAATTCCTGAAGTGAATGTATCTGCCTTTCCTTTCCTTTAATGACGAACATGCAACCGTACTTCTGAATAAGACTGACCTGCATTTACTAATGGAATGCATTCATCACCTCTGTAATGAGGAATGCTTACCTTTAATCCTGGAAAACCAGGTGACCCATGGGAGCCAGGAACACCCTAAGAAATTAAAGGAAAGAAAGAGTTAAATAACAATGCATCAGTTCTTTTACCTCACCAGTTACACACACACACAGTCTTGTTTGCAAAAATGGTTGAAGTAAAGGAAATAAATATAAAATTGTTCCATTTATTTGCCTATTGGGACTGTAATTTATATTTCATTTTATTCAAATAAATTATGCCATTGCCAGAGCTTTAATTAAGAATGTACTTTCCAGAATGTGGAAACATGCTTGGGAGAGCACACAAATAAAGGGGAAAGGGGAGCCAAGCACAGTCATTATATTCAATGTACATTTTGTAGAAATTTAACTATGTAACTTGAGGGTAGGGAGGAGAGAGGGAATCGGGGAGAAAGGTAAAAGGGGTGACATTGATCAAGATGCATTATACTCATAATCTGATTTATGAAATTGTAGCCTCTTTATAACTACTTCATAATGAATTTTCTTTCAAAGAGAATGAGCTTTTGTCTTTACTTCTCTTTCAGTGCTAATATATCTAACCTATTGCACTTAGTCAAATACCTTTAAAATTACTGTAATACATTTATCTGGAAATTAGTAGTTGTTCTCTGTACCTTCAGCAATAAAAATATCCATAGAAAGCAATATTGCCTCATTCAGTAGCAAATCTAGCTTGATTGATGTTCATGCCATCTGGGGACTGACCTCTGTATACCCCATGTGACACCCTATTACTGACATGTGTGGGGTAATCCTTTTGGTCTGACATGGTACATTTTTTTGCTAGCTGTTTCCCTTGGATCAGTGCTTTGATTGATGAAATAAATATTCAGAAATTCACCATCCCAAGTACCTACCACACTAGCATTGAGCAAGAGAGCAGATTCCCAGAGTCCTCACATTTGCTCCCGTTCTTTCTACATTCTACGCGTTTATTTCATCTAAATGCTATTAAGCAAAAGAATTCCCTGAGACATGGCCCTAGCACACAGTTCAACTGAGACAGTCTCCATCTTGGAACATATAGGATGACAGATCTAGTCTTACAAATCTGTGTAAGAGCATTGATTCCAAATCCACTGGTGTGAATAACAGATGATCCTTACCCGAGGTCCTGGGAATCCAGGAAGACCTTTCTCTCCTTTTATCCCAATACCAGATTCTCCCTTTTTAAAAAAATGGCAAGATTTAGAAGGTGCAAGCAACAATAGTTCACCAATACAGACAGTAAAAACAATGAAACATAAGCTAGGACTGTGATAAACTTATAGAGAGAATTAAAACAAAAGTCTTATAGGATTATTATAAAAAATTCTTGAGATAGATACATGCAAACATAATGCATATCTATATTGATCAAAATTAGCATTTGCAATAATGACAAAGATTGCACAAAATGAAATTTTGAATTGAGGTATCATTTTATAGAAATAGAAAAAGGAACTTAAACTACCTTGGGTCCTGGTGGTCCTGGTAATCCAATCATTCCAGGAAGTCCTTTTATACCCTAAAAATCACAATGAACAAGATGTTACTTCTTATTATGTAGCATCATGCATTCCATCTTCTTTTAGACACCATCTCCTTTGTCAATGTGTTTCTTTGTTTTAAATAAAGAATTCAATTAGCAACTAATACTTAAGCATACTTGTGACCTTGACTCCTTTTCAGGTCGATGTGAGAAGTAGATGAGTCACAGGGGTGGACCACCATGAAACCATGAAAATGTAGCCACCAAGGGAAGTGGTTCATTTTGAGCAAGGTAGAGGGATTTAACCAATCATTCCATAGGAACAACAGAATTGGTATATGACATCAGTAATAGCAGTTTTGGAAGCTGACAGAGGAAATTAATATTTGCCCCCAGATCTATTGCATCCCCAGCCTTATATGTTTGTTATCTTGTCCGTTCTTAAAACACCAAACCCATCCATGACATTCGAAGGACAACTTAAATTGAAATGATATTTGTGAGACTCAGTGTAATGGAGGACTTGGCACAATTTGGCAGTCTAGAATCAGTCTGTTAACTCAGCAGCTAGATAGACTCGAGGCCATGGAAACTTTTAGAACCATAATGTTCACTCTTGTACAAAAATTTAATGAAAATGCCAGCCTGTTAAGGCAGCTTTGAGGATAATGTGGTGAGACATATAAGATGTTTTCATTGCTACTTTATGAGGTAACATATGAATTGGGGTCTTACCTTTTCTCCTTTATAGAGAGAAGCATCAGGTGGTTCTATCAATAGGGTGGGTCCAGGAGAACCTTGCTGGCCAACTTCACCCTTTAAATAAAATCAAGAGATTATGAATTGCATATGAATTTATGTTTCAAAGTAAGACTTTTGCCCATGTATGATATAATAAGGCTTCTAGTTCTCTATTTCATGAATTTTAATATATAAATCTTGGAAAATATCTCACGTACTTTAGAATATTTGTTGTTTCTTATTAAAATTTAATATACTTATGGCTAAGCAAATACTTAAAATATAAAAAAGCATGCTAGCAGCTCATGCCTGCAGTCCTCACTATTTGGAAGGCTGAGAATGAGAGGATAATAGTTCCTGACCAACTAAGGCAAAAAAAATGGTGTAAGACCCACCCCATCCCAAGTCATAGCTCTGCACTACACTGCTCAACTGTCATCTCAAGCAATGTGGAAAGCTGAGACTGGGAAGGTCAGGGTTTCAACCCAGCCCAGACTCCCTCTCCCCTAAAAAAAAAAGTCCATGAGACTTCATCTCCACAGAGGGAAGCAGGCTATGATGGGGAGCCTCTGCAATCCCAGTGCTGTCAGAAAGCCTAAAGTAGGTAGATCATAGTTCCAGCACTGGCCCGTGCAGAAATGAGACCCTATCCCAAAATAAGCAGCAATGAACAGATCTAGAGGTGTGACTTCATTGGCAGAGTACCAAATTAACAAGCAAGAGAATCTGAGTTTAAACTCTAGTAGTGCATATATATTTTCACACACACACACACACACACACACACAAACACACACACATACAGAGAATATAGCTAAAAAGCTAAAAGAGATAAAAGAAGACCCATATAAACAAATGAATGGAGTAAATAGAAATTTCCTTTAAAGCAAGACATGAAAATGTATCTCAACTAAGAAAAATCCTGAAAAATAATCAAATTGAAGTCTCAGCAAAATAAATTAGAAAGCCTCTTTGATACAGTAGATGAAATAAAACTCATAATTTTAGGACTTAGAGATAGATTAGACACAGTAAAATAAGTAGAAAGAACCAAAGAAATACTGGAACTTTGTAAGAATTTCAGGGATCTACTAAAAGACTAAACTTAGAAATCATGGGCATAGAAGTGGAGCTGTGGTCCAAAGCGGTAGAATGCTAGCCTCCAGCAAAAGCACTCAGGGATGGCACCCAAGCCCTGTGTTCAAACCCAAAACTGACACACACAAAAAGGAAGAGGAAATAAATCATGGGCATATATGAAGAGATATGGTGACTAAAGCCATAGAAAACATCCAATAGAACAGTAGCAGAACAATTACCAAATTTTGAAGAAGAGAAACTCATTGGGGCTTTTAGAACACCCAGTAGCCAAGATCAGAAAGGGACCTCTCTCAAGAGGAGAGGGACAGACAAATGAAGAGAGGAAGAGTGGAAGAATGTGTGTGTGTGTGTGTGTGTGTGTGTGTGTGTGTGTGTGTGAATGGTGTTAAGAGAAATGAGGGGTGGATGGGGTTGAGAGAAACAGAAGGAAAAATGATTAAATGGATGATGATGATCAAGATGCACTGTACTCATAAACCAGCATGCTGAAACAAAACTTCTTTGTATGCCCACTTGAAGTTAATAAAATAAAAATAAGAAGGACCTCTCCATAATACATTACCAAAATAATGAGCACAGAGAACAAGGAAAGAACACTGAAAATTGTAAGAGAGTAAAGTCTTATAACTAAAATGGGAAACCCATCAGAATAACAGATCTCTTACTAGAAACCCTAAAAACAAAAAGGGCTTGATTTTCAAACATTGAAAGTTAACAACCCATAATGCTCTTCTTAGCAATGCTACTATTCATAACTAAAGAATAAATGAGATGTTATATGACAAAAACTAAAGATATATAGTGTATGTGTGTGTATCAGAATAACACAACCTAATAAGTATATGAGCATAATGTAAAATATGCAAGGTAATCTTTTATTTTATTTTTAAATTATGATTATAGTTATGGGGATTTTCCAACTACATTAAATCTTTTTCTGAATCCTGATATTTTCAGTGCTTGTCAAATAAATGTATCATAAGAACATTCAGTGATTTATGAGTTATTCCAGTCTGGATAGATTTATTTTCTTTCTAGCTTATATCAATAAATTAGGTTATTTCTTATTTATTTTCAGTAATATTTAAAACACAAGATGCCATATATAAGTAACTAACCAAAAGGGTTTTTTATTTGTTTTTGTTTGCTTTTTATTGGGGCTTTAAGTTGCTTTTACAGTACAACCATGAATTTTCACTTTTAATTAGATGCCCTTTGTATGCTTTTGAATATCACTATTATTGGACAGTTAAAGTTATCTTCTGTTTCTGACATATGCTCTGAATCAGACATCTGTTTGCCAGCTAGCCTGTATTACTTTGGAGAAGTTTCTTAACATATTTCTCATCCCTACTTTTTTAAATTCCTCTAAACCTCACATTTTTGCTCTATGATATTGATGATAATACTGGCTCACTTCAAGGTATTATTTTACTGAATGCATGATACATTTGACAGGCTTATAGCCATCCATAAAGAAGAATGAAGTTCCATTGTCTTAATTTTTGGATTACTTAAAGGGTCACCACATTACTCAATATTTCCACATTTTTCTATAGCCTGAGCTTGCAAATACATCCGCTGGCCTCAGCCCTGAAGACCACTCGGCCGGCAATGCCTTCGGGCCTTGCCACATCTCAGGGGTGGGAGGATTCCAGAGCCAAAACAAAGTAATCCCAGGGACTGAGACTCCTCAAGCTTGAACACTATTGTCTGACTGTATGTTCTTTTAGTCATGTCTCTAAGTCAATGGTTCTAAAGGTTTGGACACACACACACACACACACACACACACACACACAGACACACACACAGAGGAACATTTGGTAAGTCTTGACACAGTGCTGTTGATATACTCGGGCACAGGTCGCTGCTAGTGTTGAGTGAATAGAGACCACAAACACCTCTAAGTATTCTATCTTTGACAGTTATGTTGCTCTATTAAACATCTTTACCATAGTTTAACCGTGCTGGAACTTCATGAGAGTGGGTACCAGTCTGCCTATCTTGTTAATTTTCCAGTCAGTATCAAACCTAGCATGGCACAGAATAGAGACTTGGTATCTATTTCTAATGTTGAAAAACACTTGCCTTCCATTGGACACTGAATTAATTATATCTAGATAACCCATTCTTTTCACTCTGTGTGTGTGAGTGTATGTGTCTGTGTCTGTGTGTCTGTGTCTGTGTGTCTATGTGTATCAGTCTCAGGGCTTGAACCAACAGCCTGGGAGCTGTCCCTGAGCATTTTTTGTGGTAGCACTCTACCACTTCTAGGTGTTTGGTGATTAATTGGAAATAAGAATCTCATGGACTTTTCTTCCTTAGGCTGGCTTTGAATCATGATCCTCATATCTCAGCCTCCTGAGTAGTTAGGATTACAGGCACGAGCCATTGGTACCTGGCTCACTCACTTATTAAAATCTTATCCTCACTCTCAGGCTTCCACAGAAAGGACTGTGACTCAAGAGAGGGAGGAGGAGGCAGGAAGGATAGGGGGAAGGAGATGTTATTAAACGTCTGTGGCTCAAGTTACTTTATACTTTTTTATTATCTTTCTTGCCATGTTGAAATGTGTCATCTAAAGGAACCTGAATTCAGTGTAAGCTGTGTCGGAGCTGTCATTAACAAGTCAAGGCAAATAGTGGCATAATAATTGAGCAGAGAGAAAAATTCTCAGCCATCAAGTTGGGCAGTGACCAGATTGTGAGCACAGCTAAATAATAACCCAAATACCGCCATTACAGGATGATGCACATCCCCTACACTGTGACCTCCGTGCCAGGCTGTTCCTTACCGGATCTCCCATTTGCCCTTTCACTCCCACACCAGGATTGCCCTGAAAAAGAGAAGAAAATCAATCTAATTGCTTTTGAATTAAAAAAAAAACAATAAAAAATGAGGATTTCTATTCTATGCAGTTCATTTAAACACTTAGAAAATCTGATAAGGGGAAAGATGTCATTCTAACAAGCATCCTCGATGAACTCTTTCAATGTGCATGCGTTATGTATATGTATCAGGACTTACCTTCAACCCTGGGCTCCCAGGATGACCCGGAGGTCCCTAAATCAAAGACAAAATAAATTAACACATAAACAATCAGCCATAGCTTATCGAGATGTGTGTTTATTGGTTGTCTCAAGTTTCTATTTAGGAAACACTCGACTTTAAAATAGGCATGACAGGGCTGGGAAGGTGGCTCAGTGGTAGAGCGCTTGCCTTGCATGCCTGAGGCCTTGGGTTCAATTCCTCAGTACCACATAAGCAAAAAAAAAAAGCTGGAAGTGGCGCTGTGGCTCAAGTGGTAGAGCACTAGCCTTGAGTTGAAGAGCTGAGGGACAGCGTCCAGGCCCAGAGTTCATGCCCCACAACCAGATACAAAAACAAATAAAATAGGCACGACATGACCTCTCTCTCATGTAAGAGCTTTAATAAATTGATCTCATGGAGGTAGTTAGAATAGAATAGAATAGTTGTCATCAGCCGCTAGGAAGGCTGGAGCGGAGAGAAGCAGGTAGGAAGAATGCTTGGTTGCTGTGTACACAACTGTGGTTGGGAGATTTAGCTTCTCATCTTCTGTAGCACAGAAGGGCACCACCGTCAACAATAATTTATTGCATATTTTAAGGTGGCTGCAAGAGAGGATTGAAAAGTGTTTCTGACATAACGACAAATGTTTGAGATCATCGGTATGCTACTTGCCACGATTTGATCAGGTCATTTTGTTTGCACATGTCTAAATGTCACCTTTGTATCTATGACCATGTATACTTTCCGTGTCAACTAAAACTTAAAAAGTACACAATGGATCTTTGCCCATGACTTTTTGGCATGGATGTGCTACTGGGCTGTGGAAATCTCACTTCAGTGGCTTATTTCTGGCGAAACCTGTGTGTGAAGATAGAGTCCTGCAGATAAAGTGAGGGTGGGCAGAATCCCCCAAATATAAGCTCTCAAGGGGGCTGCCCGCGCCTGACCCAATGCTGCACTTCTGTCTTTACATTTTATCCAAACGTTGATGCTGGGTTTCTAGACAGCGTTCGAGGTGTTACACTCACCGTGAGCCCTGCTGCACCGGGGTAGCCCCTGGGGCCCACTGGTCCCGGCGGACCCCTAGATCCCTAGACAGGACAAAATCAGCACATTAAAAACATATAAGCTGCATTCATAACAAGAGCCGCCTTGTAATCCCAGGTGGATTGAAACCCCCAACACAATGAGTTCCCTCCCTCCCTGCTCAGCTGGAGAATCTTCAACAGACTCGGGGCAGCCTGAACTCTTTATAGATCTGACAAACCCAATTGTGAAGACACAGAGAACCATACACTTTCAAAAATAAATACATAAACCTGTCACAGTGAAGGTTAAGAGGAAAGGAAACTCAAATTGGATGCTAGTGCCTCCTGCTTGTAGTCCTAGCTGCTTAGGGAATTGAGATCTGTAAGCTCCCACAGTTCAAAGCCAGCCTGGGGGAGAAGGTTTGCTAGACTCTATCTTCAAAATAACCATCAAAACAGCAGGACTAGAGGCCTGACTCCACGGGTAGAGCATCAGCCTAGGAAGAGTGAGGCCAGGTTCAAACCCCTGGACCACGGAAAGAAAAATCAGAGAAAACTTGTTCTTAGCAAAATTCCACACTTATTACTATTTGTACATATATTGGAAGAATTAAAATATTAGTACCAGTTAACATTAATAGTTAAATAGTAATACATTTATATTTTAATACTGTTTTGTAATATGCCTCTTGCCAAACTGGTAAAAACCCTTGTGGATAGAAACACAATGATCCCGATTTAAGATGAAGACGGTCCACCATACAGTGTTTATATCATATCATTTTCACAGGCACCCATTAGGATGAGAAGGTTCTAGCAGGGCAGCCTAGAAGGGTGAAGAGAAACCCTCGCTTGACTGGCAGGTCGAATGGTTTGAGTGTAATGCCGCACCCTCTCTAGGAAGAGGGACTCTTGCTTATTGTCCCAAAGTCATCTCATTTATTGCACAGGGCTGGGCCTCAGCAGTGTTAAGGAAAACAACGCAAGGAAGTCAACCGTCAATAGCCAGAAACACAAAACAACACGATAGATTAACCAGCAGGAGGCAAAACTGCTCTCAATTTCAAAGATACTGATGCATGGGAGAGATTAATATAATCAGTGAATTACAAGTTACAGGAAGGCAGATATAATATATGGTCACTGATTTGGCAGGCAAAGGAAGAGAGATAGGGCAAAATTACTTCCCCTTCCAATGCCTCTGTAAGGAGATCTACCTATGCACACGTACAGTCACAAGCAGACTTACTTTCCTAGTACGTAGGAAAATAAAAAGGGTCTACAAATAGCTGCGCAACACCAAATGATCATTAAGAGACGGAATGCCAGTGGCCCACATATGCAATCCTGAAGTAGAGCTGTGGCTTAAGTGGTTCACCACTAGCAGCGGGTAAAAATCTAAGGGACAGTGCCAAGAGTACAAACTCCAGTTCTCTCTCTCTTTGTCGCTGTGTCTTTGTCTTTGTCTTTGTCTCTGTCTCTGTCTCTCTGTCTCTCTGTCTCTCTCTCTGTCTGTCTCTCTCTCTCTCTCTCTCTCTCTCTCTCTCTCTCACACACACACACACATGATAGAGGAGAAGGTAAGGTATAGCTAACTGAAAAACTAAATTTGGAAGCTTGCTTTGGTGCACGCAAGCTGTGTTATCTCACACCGATTCCATTCACTGTCTTGAAACTCTCAATGTCTGGAAAGGGGAACTACACTTTTGTTTTCTATTAGGTAGACCTCACAAATTATGCGGCCAGTTCTGCTGGGTTTAAAATCTACTGTACACATTGGACTGTTGGAATAGGAAATCACAGCACGTGATGTGCTGGGGAGACTTACTGGTAAGCCAAGAGGTCCTGGGTCTCCGGGGTCTCCCTGCAATGATAACAGTACAGTGTTTGACAAAGGCATGACAGATTTTTTAAGCTATGGATCGTGTGAACAACATTTTTAAAAATATGCACAGAAATTATCTGGATTCTTCTAATGGTGTTCAATTTTTCCGGCGATGAGAATACACTGGGCAAGTGCATCGATCGATAGGCCTCCAATCCTCCTTCTCCTCAATGGGAACCACAACGAGATGGTTGGAAGTCATGACCACTTAGAACAGAGGTGAGAGTTGTTTTGTCAGTTTAAATTACTCGAAATTCTCCAGCTAAAGATGGAGTTTCCTCACAAGCCTACCTGGTCCCTTTGGACCAGCCTACAATGATGTAAAGGAATGTGTGGGGAGAGTTCCTTACACCTCTAGCTGTCGGCATCTGACGCTCGTGACTCAGCCCAGGCTCAACTGCTTTAACAGGGGAACCCATGCATCTTCTCTCGGGTACAGGTGCTTTCTAATGTGAATTAGCTATAAAATAAAAGTCTAGTCTTTGAACACTTTTGAGTTTATAGTGATTTCTGTGGCATTCAGGTCATTTACAATGTTGTTCAACCAAAACCAAATCCATCTACACAATGTCTTCATCTCTCCAGTGGAAACTCCATAGAAATACAGTTGATTCAAGGAAGACCTCGAATAGTGTGATTTCTTAGAAAGGAAAAATCAAAGTGAAGCAAAACAAACCATTAGGAAGTGTTACTTGAAAGGGGTGGGAGTGCCAGTGGCTCACGCCTGGAATCCGAGCTACTCAGGAGGCTGAGATCTGAGGATTGAGGTTCAAAGCCAGCCAGGGCAGGAAAGTCCGAGAGACTCTTATCTCCAATAAACCACCAGAAAACCGGAAGTGGCACTGTGGCTCAAGTGGTAGAGAGCTAGCCTTGAGCTGAAGAGCTAAGGGACAGTGCCCAGGCCCAGAGTTCAAGCCCCACGATCAACAAGAAAGAAACCAAGAAAGGAAGGAAGGAAGGAAAGAAGGAAGGAAGGAAGAAAGGAAGGAAGGAAGGAAGGTAGGTAGGTAGGTAGTGGGGTAGGCTCAACAGGAAAGGGGGTAGATAAGTAAAGAGGACTTGAGGGAGAAAAATGAAGACAAGAATCCAATGTATACCCTACACAATTAAGAAGAGCGAGGGGAGGGGTGGGGAGGGGAGAAATGGGCGAGAATGTTGAAAGGGGTGGCATTGATCAAGATATGTTGTATTCATACATTGCTTTGTTAAATGGCAACTCCTTTGTACAACTACTTTAAAATAATAATAAATAATAATGATAAATAAAATACTCTATTAACTCCCAGTGCCAACTCACTCTGGGCATCATTGTACTGTCTGTCTCTGAAGCTGAATATTCTAAGAAATTTAGGCCGTGGAATCTAGTATGGCCAATCTTATTAAAGATCTTCTGTTTAGGCTTGAGATAAGGAAGTCTCTATACTTCTCTCCCCTTCTGTCTCCCTTCTTTTCGGTTGTCTCTTCTATGGCTATCTTTCTTGTTTTCTATTGTTTACTATCTATCTCACTTGTTCGTAGTTTTGTGACTGGGCATGATGTCATCCGGTTTCATACACATTGTTGCATATATCAGAATTTCCGTCTTTTTTTAAAGGCTGAATCATATTCATTTATATAGATAGACCTATATTTGATTCTTGTGATCATCTATACATCTTCTGACAAACCATGAGGCAACTTCTACCTTTTGGCTACTGTGCACATGCATTGTGCCTCTGCTTTCAATTGTTTTAGTGACATGCCCAGAAGTGAAGTTCCTGAATTATACAGTAATCTTACATTTAATATTTTGAAGAATTGCCACATTTTTTCTATAGTAGCTGTACTATTTTACATTCTCATCTAAAATGACACACTATTGCTGACATTGTTTTATTTTTTTTTTTTTGCTTTTTCTAATAGCTACCTAAATGAATGTGAAGTATGTGAAGACTCTTAAAAAAGAATATCGTATAATTCTTTATGAAGGATCCTGTATAATTCTTGTAAGCAAGAGAAGTCTTTCCAATATGTGATATTGGTTCCTAGAATACCCTGTGGGATGCTGAGTTTACTAAAATATTGTTGAAGTTGTAGTAAAAGCTGTAGTTCTTGCTGTTGGCTGTGTGTAGATGGACAGTTGCATCCTCTTCCAACGGGACAGAACTCAGGCTCTCAGAGAAACAATCTATAACTCATTTTATTCCTAAGAGAAAAAGAGAATCTGGAAAATGGACTGGTTCTCTTTGCTTTTCCACTCATCGCCCTTGTACCTGGTTGAAACATGGCTTCTCAGATTTGGGATGAAGCGGCCCCTCGAAACCTTATTTCTGAATATTCCTGTATGTCTTCCCCTGCTTAAAGCACACAAGCATTCCTTTGGGAGAGTGCTAAAACTTTCTAGAGTGTTCAAATTCCATAGTGATAACTTTCAGTGTACTAGATGGCACCATGCAAATGTTAGCAATCAGTAGCCAACACCAAGGGGTCATTCTTCCCTAGGGAATATCTGTTAATAGCTGGTGACATTATCGGTGCGGGGGGGGGAGGAGGAGGAAAGCACTGCCAGTGTGGGGGGCGGGGCAAGGCTGCAAGGCCTGACATTCTGTAATGTTCAGGATCTGCACCAAAATACTGGTAGTGACCAGCTTGTGAAACCTTGACATCAAAGTGTGCTTGCAACTCTGAACGGCTGGTGGCGCTGTGTTGCTGTAGTCATAGTGACAGAAGCACAAGTCTTCACACAAGAAGTAGATACCCATCTTGGTGTGTCCAGTCAATGACAAAACTCATTCTGACTGACACTGAGCAGGAAACCCCTATCAGTGTACTTCCTGCATGGTTTACCACTTTGAAGGGAAGAAAATTCACCTAATACTCACAATTGATGTACTACTTACCTGAGTACCTTTAATGGCACCAGCAATGAACACTGAATTTCCTTTTTCACCACGTTCTCCAGGAAGGCCCTGAAAATAAAACATTTATGTAAATGGAGAAAGTGCATTATTATGGCAGGATTTTTTCATATGAAATATTAGTGAACAATAAAACTAACATTGCAACCATTATTCTGGCAGAGTTTTATCGTCCTAAAGTTCTTATATACATTTCCTCTATATTTAATTGCCTCTGTTTAGGAATTCCCAAGGCAGAGTATCCACTAATATATAGAAATTCATGAATTTTTGAGCAGAAACATTGGATTTTTTTCTTACAATATAATACTTAGGCATTATTCTTTTTAAATGCCCAATTTTATTATTTTAATTCATGCTCTAGAAATAGTATAAAGAAAAGCATATGTCCATTTCAGTATTTACATTCCAAACAGAGCTTGCACATCCTTTGTAAAAGTAACTTTAAAAATATGATATATTCCTTTTAGGAGGTTTTTGTATATAGGTGCTGGTTGGTTATCTTTAAAAAGTGAATGAAATAGCTCAATGTACTCTTCCAGGGCTTTCTTGTGTCTCATCTTAATCTCTTACTTAATATCTTAATGTATCTTAACTTGGTTGCCACCTAAACCTTCTATCTTCTCCATATGCCAAGCTTCTATGAAGGACACACACATTTCAAAGTAGCTCTTCACACAGGGTGCCTGACTCTTAGGAAATTACACCAACAGCTTACATACCTCTGCAGGTAGTGCTAACTTCCTGTGGTTCCCATCTGCATAAATTTCAGTCCCACAATTAAATAATACCAGTCCTCCAACAACATGACTTGAATTTCAGTCTCAATTACAACTGAAATTAGTTGAGTCATGACATAAAATGCCAACTCTACTGTTAGCTCATTGGTCCCCAAATTGCTATATAACTAACAGAGGCCAATCATGAGTCTTGAATGATTCGGTGGAGAAGGTGGGCAGCCTCACATTACACAAAAAGTGTCAGATAACTCAGGGGACCATTGTGCAAACCAGTACTGCTGTCTACAAGCCACCAGCGGGAATTCCTGCTTTCATGAACTGCTGATTCAGCAGAATTAGGTTCCATCCAACTTGAAGAGTTTAAGACACATGCATTCAACAGACTGCACTGGGACTAGGCAATGCTTGAGTTTGAGAGCCTCGGGTGGAAGATGATTGTGGCTCCTGTGTCGTAATGAAAATAAGGCGGGGGAGGGAGTGGAGGAGTGGGGGGAGGGGGGAGTCTGTAAAAGCTTTTTGAGTTCTATATCCAGATAAGTTCCTCATAGGTCTGAAACACAAAGAAGACTTGTGAAGAAGAATTGGATGACTCTGCTTGAAGAATGAAATCTGAAGAACAATATTTAACGAGAGAAGGGAAAGGGCTGAAAACTAGCCACAGAAAATCTGTTTTGAAGAGACAAGTGATCTCTGCTCTTTAAGTGACGAAAAGAGAAAGAAAACAAACACAAAAAAATCAGAGGACACATGAAGTATAGAAAAAGAAGGGCATATAAGGAAGTACCCTTGCTGAAGTTAAGCCCAATTTTTTTAAAAGAAAACCAACAATGAAGAATAGTAAATTTATCGTCAAGTGTCAACAGTGTCCACTGTTAAGAATGGACATCCATTCCGAATCCTTCTCTAATTTATCTTCTTTAATTACACGAGGCCACAGAGATTGAAAAACAAAAAACAGAACCTTGACCTGGTGTGATGGCGCATGCCTGCCATCACAGCCACCAGGAGGCTGAGGGGGAAGAGCATGCATGCCTGCAAAGCCAGGGTGGGCTACATGGTGAGGCCACGTTGTGAAATAAAAGGAGGAGGAAGAGGAAGAGGCTTCTGCAGGTGGGTGGAAGGGAAGTTCCACCTAGGAGACATGGAGGACAGAATGGCGGAGAGACCCAGTGTATGGTCATTCTGCTGCCACTTCCCCATAGGAAACTGTCGGCTGGTGTCCCGATATGGGGTACGAGGCAGTCATTAGTACAAGAGCACCTGCCTGAATCTGTGCACCCCCCCCCCATGCTGGGCCCCAAGTCTCACTCCTACAGCCATTACAACAAAGGCAAACTCCTCTATTAAATACTTTTCTGCTTGGCTTTCCAGGGGCGCTCAGACATGTTTGCAGTGAACCCTCATACGTTTTGCTACCTGGCCCCTCTGCTCCTTTTCTTTACTCTCCATTCTCTGTACAGAGACAGCTTAAAGAAGCAGCCATAGGATTCTTTCTTCCTTGAAAGCATCAGTGTCTTTGCAAGAAGCAACAAAGAAAATCCAATCTCTTGTGCAGTCTACAAAGCCTTACATGTTCAGTCCTGCCTGCTGTCTAACCACCTCCTCCAGCCGCACTCCCTGAGTTCACAGATCTCCAGGTACTCTTGCATTAACTCTGCTTTTAACCATGCCAGCCTTTTCCTACTGTAGGCCTTCTCACACCCGATGAGCTGCCCTGTGGGTGTCTTACAGGGGGGCCTCCGGGGCCTGGTACTCCCCTTTCTCCTGGGAATCCAGGATCACCTCTGGATCCATTGTAGCCATTCAAGCCAGGTTTTCCTCTCGATCCAGGAGGCCCTGGATGACCCTACAGAAAACAAAAGTGAAGCCTTTTTATTTATTTACTTATTCACTTGTTTATTTATGCAGGAAAATCCCTAACACCAAGGATACATGCTATGGGTCCCAAATTCTGGCCATGGTAACTCACACGTTAACTTGTTTAAGTTCATGCAATTTCCTTCCCTGTCTAAAAGTGCTATGTGTCATAGGAAACCCAAAAGTACAGATCTTGTCCTGCATCCAAATTTGAATTAATTTACTTTTGATTATTCTGAGAGATTGGAGAGGCAATTTTTTTCAAAGCCTTCCATTCCCTTGTCTCCCCTTCCCCCACAAAAATAATTCTACTCCTCTCACTTAATTTTTGTATTAAAAGTGAAAGTCTCTACTCCACTAGCAATTTTAGAAAATAAGTTTCATTAAGATCATATTTTATTTCCAGAAGACTGATTTTGGAGTTTTTTCCCCCCTAATCTGTTTGAAACCCTTGCTGACTGAGCAAAATGCAAAGACCCTTTCATGTGTTATGTATTCCATGTACTTCTCATATACAAACATGGAAAAAATTTAAGTTTGCCTAATATGTATACTTTTTGACTATGTGGTTTTATGGGTCCTAACATGTATTCCCCCTTCTTCAAAAATAAAAAAGAAGAATACGTACAGGTATTCCGCCCAAACCTGGAAACCCAGGAATGCCAGTTGGACCCTAGAATTACAACATACAAAACAAAAGCATAAACATTACTAAATTATTAGACTAGCAAGCTGATTTACTTGAAAATTGGGACTCATTTGAAACCTCTTACTGGTCACGATCATTTGGTTTTTCCATTGATGAGTTAATATGCTGTCATTTGAGAAATGACTCTTTGTACTTTCCAGTGTGCATTTGATTTAAGTCAGCAATTCAGCTTTTCAGAACAATAGCCTAGTAAACATGACCAACAGTATCTTATAGGACTGTTTGTACACTAACACTGCCAAATTTGGGGCACAATCTCAAATTATCAGCAGGAAACGAGTTCTAGCTTTGCAGTGGTATACTATGCAGATTTAAAGGGATAAATCCAACCTGAAGAAGTTAATGAAAAATGGTCTTTAAATCATAGTGCTGGGGCTGGGAAGGTGGCTCAGTGGTAGAGTGCTTTCCCTGCATGCATGAGGCCCTGGTTTGATTTCTCAGCACCACATAAGCAGAAAAAGCCCCAAGTGGCATTGTAGCTCAAGTGGTAGAACACTAGCCTTGAGCTGAAGAGCTGAGGGACAGCGCCCAGGCCCTGAGTTCAGACCCACGACTGACATCATCGTCATCCATCATCATCCATCATCCATCATCATCATCATTGTCATCATCATAATCATCATCATCAAAATCATAGTGCTGAGTGATTAAAAAAAAACCAAGACAGTGTGATAACACGTGAGAAAGTATTAAGCTTTTTCTGTTTTGTTCTGTTGAGCTGGTCCTGGGGTTTGAACTCAGGGCCTGGCACTGTCCCCAAGCTTTTATTCTCCAGCTAGTGCCCTACCACTTGAGCCACAGTTCCACTAAAGATTATTTTGGTAGTTTATTGGAGTTAAGAGATCACGGACTTTCCTGCCCATCAGCTCTCCGATCTTAGCCTCCTGAGTAGCTAAGATTACAGGCATGAGCCACCAGCTTCCTAAGGTTTATTTTTTAAGCCTCTAAACAATGCACCTGCTCAGTGGCACACACTTGGGGGTTTAAACACACGGAGAAGGTCCAGAAGGACACCGTTCTCTATATAGGGGCTAGGATGGGAGAGTTGTTACTGCAGAGGAGTTTGGATTTTGAACAACAGGGTACCGAGTGCCTTGAAGATGCTGCAGAAGCTGCTCACCTTGTCTCCTTTCTCCCCCACGGCTCCGGGAGGGCCGGCGTCACCCCTTAGACCTTTCTCTCCTGGAATCCCTGGGGGTCCTGGGGGTCCCAGGGGCCCTATGGGACCCTGAGGTCCCAGTGGTCCTGGGTGGCCCTGAAAGGAAGGACATAAGAGTTAACGGATCATGGCACCTAAGGACAAGAGTTGACACTTTTTATGACAAACAGTATGGTGATCACCTCCCAAGCATTATTCATCCTACGAGGATGTAGAGATGAAGAGTAGAGGATCAGAAAGGCTAAGAAATGTCTCCAAGGACACACACACAAGGAACTGTGGGCATGGCTGTCCCTTATGGGGATTGTCTGCAGAGCTTGAGTCTTCGGTCACTCGACTTCCTCCTTGTGAGTAGTGCAGTGCTGGTATTGTGTACGTGAATCACCATGCACTCTGGCAGTCTCACTACCAGCAGCTCATTATAAACCTTCCATCTCTCTACCCAAGTGGGGGCTTTTTGGTTTGCTTTTGTTTGTGCTGGTACTGAAACCAAGGTATTTTCTTTTTAATTTATTCTTGTGAGTACTGGTTCAACAGGCATAAATTCCAAAGGCTTAAAATGTTAGCTAAGTCTTTTTTGTGGATGGTACTCAGGTTTGAGCTCAAGGCTTCATGCTTGCTTGACTGACACTATACCACTTGAGCCATACTTCCAACCTAGATTCTTGCTGGTTTATTTTGGAGTCTGGAAAGTACTTCTTCCCTGGCTGGCTTTGAACTTTGATTCTCTAGATCTCAGCCTCTTGAAAGTTAGGATTGCACACATATGTCACCAGCACCCAGTCTTAAATAGATCTTAACCATATAAGTAATAAAAAAGATAACTGTGAGTATGAACAATCTGGGGAGCTTATAAGGGAAGGCAGATTAATTTACAATAAACGTGTATAAACTGAAAGCACAACCTCAAAGTGAGAATAATGACTTAATTAACATACATTTCAAAGTGCCCTCCTTTTATTTTTCCTTGATATAAGAATGAGGAAAGAACAGCTTTGGATATTAAGTTGAGAAGTTATATTTACATGTAGCATGCAATTTGCATATAAAGTCTCCAAATGATCCTCATGGAGCATAGTACTTTACAATTATATGTTATTTTGATACATAACAAAATGCATAGTCAACCAAATGGAGGTAACTGAGAAAGCAATCTTCACCGAGTTTCATTTGAAATGTGCAGTCCCTAATTCAGTGAGCCAGTGGAATTTGCAGAGACTGAAAGAGTAGGAATGAATGTTACTACAGCCATAGAAACATGACATTTCCATTCAATGCACTAGAGAAACGTGTCCAGATTGGCCCATAAACCAAAAAGATTAGAAAATGTCTGTGTGCCTGTGAAAGGCCTTGATCTTCCTCCCTCCTTCCCTCTCCCTTCCCTACAACATGCAACTCTCATTTGGGATCATTTGTTTTGCAGCATTTGCACACACTTATGCATGCCTGCCCATGGATGATGGCTCTTGGTGCTCTAGTGGGAAGATTTCCCCTATCTACTTATTGCCCTGACCCTAGATGCCTCTCGGAGATGCCAAGATAATAACCCCTCTGCTGTCACCAGAATCCTTTCTTTATCTCTGTGTCCCTCTCCTCTTCTCCTCCACTACAGCATAAAGTTCCCAGAGCAGGCAGAGCACAAGTACCCAGGACATGATAGTAAGAAAGGCAGATGTACTAGTCAGATTTGTGTTGCTGTAATGAAGTCACTGAGGAAACCAACAGTAAACACAATGCTTGCTTTTTTTTCTCTAAGTCTGTGAAGACTACATGGTCATATATTTATTTTTTTTAAAAAGTTACTATTAAATAATTTTGTTACATAATAAATGTTTGAAGGAGATGCATGAAATCTTGAAGACTAAATCTGCCTTCAAGTGACAACAATCTCGCAAATGCAAGTCTTGGAAATAGTAGTTTGCTAGATCACCCAATTCCAGAAAACAATGTATTCACAGCAATGTAGAGGACAATTCCATTAGTATTAAATTGGTTCATATGTAAGGGGGTGGAGGAATCAATAAAAAGAATCATGGCAGACCCATAAATAACAGAGCCATAAAGGCGTGTGCAGGACTAGAAAATCATTCCAAGCAGGAATTTTACATTTTTTGGGGGGAGGGCTGGTCCTGGGGCTGGAACTCAGGGTCTGAGTGTTGCCCTGAGCTTCTTTTACTCAAGGCTAATGCTCTACCACTTGGCCCACAGCTCTACTTCTGGCTTATTGGTGGTGGTTAATTGTAGATACAAATCTCAAGGACTTTCCTACTAAGGCTGGCTTTAAACCACTATCCTCAGATCTCAGCCTCCTGAGTAGCTAGGATTACAGGTGTGAACCACAGGTACCCTTCTCATTAAAAAAAAAATTAAGCGGCTAGGAAGGTGGCTCTGTGGTAAAGTGCTTGCCTTGCATGCATGAGGTCCTGGGTTCGATTCCTCAGTCCCACATAAGCAGAAAAAGCCAGAAGTGGCACTGTGACTCAAGTGGTAGAGCACTAGCCTTGAGCTGAAGAGCTGAGGGACAGTGCCCAGGCCCAGAGTTCAGGGCCCGCAACCAAACAAAAAAAATTTTTTTAATATTTTATTTAAAAACTATTTATTTTGTTGATTTACTCTTAATCTTCACCCTCAAGCCACTAACAATAATATTCAATAAAACCCAGTGCAAACCCAGCACATGCTATAAAAACAAGTGATTTTTCATAGCAAATAGACAAGCTGCCTAATGGAAGACTGACTTTTGGGTATAAGGTCCTTGGTTTGTTTTCTTTTTCTTCTTCTCTCCCTCCTTCCTTCCCTTTCCCTCCCCCCTCTTTCTTTTTTCTGTATGTGTATGCATCAGCATGTGGCTGGATCTCAGCATCTTACACGCCCTTGGGTTTCTTGCTCAAGGCTGGTGTTCTAGCACTTGAGACTTGCTTCCGCTCTGGCATTTTGCTGGTTAATTGAGGATGAAATCTCACAAACTTTTCTGCCCAGGCTGGCTTTGAACTGCAGTTCTTCAAGTTTCAGCTTCCTGAGTAGCTAGGATTATCACAGGCACAAACCATTAACACCTCCTTTTTCCCTGTTTTCCTCTTTCCCTCCCTCTTTTCTTTCCTTCCTTCATCCCTCCTTTGTTCCTTCCTCCCCTCTCTCCCTCCCTTCCTCCCTTGGCTTTCTTCTGCTTCCTCTTAACTCTCCTCCTTTCCTCTATTCTTCTTTACTCTTTCCTACCCTCCCTCCCTCCCTCCCTCCCTCTCTTCCTTCCTCCCTTCCTCCCTTCCTTCCTCCCTTCCTCCCTTCCTCCCTTGCCACTGTGAGCACAGCTGCCTCTGTTGTGACTTTCCGTGTCTTTCTCTGCTCAGAGGCCCAGCTGACTTCACGCCATTAGCCAGTTATTGGTGATCCTCCAGCAGCCCTGGATGGGGGCCAGCTGTACAAATAAAGCCTGAAGAGCTCAGCGCTGACACTGCGCACCACCCCTCTCTGCCTCCCAGGCCAGGATGCACCTTTGGGATTTTCATCCCTGGTTCATTAGCTAAGTCAGGAATCTGTCTAGTGCAGGGCTAGGATTGCACACGCTTCCACTTCGGCCACACCCCAGCTCTCCTTGCTTTTGTATTTTTCAAATAGCTTCATCTTGGGCTGATCTTTAACCAAATGGTCCTACTTCCACCTCCTGAGTAGCTGAGATTACAGGCATGAGCTCCCAGGCTCAGCTTGGGATTTTTGTTGTTGTTGTTGAGATAGGATCTCAAACTGCGCACCATCATCCCCCACCACCCGGTTGCCTCTTACTGTGTCCCATCCACCTCCGGAGCAGCTGAGACTCCAGGCATGTTCCACCATGCCCCACCCCTTATCTTATTTATAAACATTAAAAACAGACATGTATGCCTTCTATGTTCCTTTATAAAATTTCCCTAGGAAACAATATTATTCAACTGATGACTGATATCTAATTTTGTGGCCCTCAAATGGAATTTTCTAGTTGCTCCCAGAGTTGTTTTGATCCACCCTTTTTCTCCCTCATCCTCTGAGTCTCTCTTACCCCCAAATGACAAGTAAATGCCCTGTGTCTGGCTCCTCTTCATCACCCCCTGGAGTGCCTGGCTCTCCTCAGGATTCCTCCCGTCTGCCTCTGCTCCCTTAACCCTGATCTTCTCCCCCATGGCTGTCTAGAATCTTCCCTCTCCCTTCCATCAACCATGTTGACAGGACTGTCACCTATCCAGCACCCCGGCCAACCCAGTGCCCACGGCCCCAGCCCCACTGTTTGCTGGAAGGGATTAAGTCCTTCTCCACCTGGAACTCAAATCCTATCTCTTCTCCCCCCAAATGCACAGTAATACTGACACCCGCCCTGAGCACGTACTCCATCCAGGCACTGGCCCTTGTATTCTTTATGGGATCTTTACAGCCTTGGGAAGCCAAGAGGCATCCTGTCTGCTTCTTGGTCCCCGAAGGTGGAAGCTGAGCCTCAGAGAGCCGAGGTGAGTTACTTGGCGCCACACAGCAGCTGACACCTAAGGAAGCAGATCTTCTGACCTCCAGAGTCTGCCTCTCTCTGAACCTCAAACTTTACCATTGCCCCAAACTTCCATGTCTACTCGAGAATAACACCTGCATAGCCTTGTCACTGCTTTCTCTTTGCTGTTTGGTATATGTTACTTAGACAGCTTTTTTTTTGGGGGGGGGGGCGGCCAGTCCTGGGGCTTAAACTCAGGCCTGGGCACTGTCTCTGAGATGCTTTTGCTCAAGGTTAGCACTCTACCACGTGAGCCACAGTGCCACTTCTGGCCTTTTCTGTGTATGTGGTACTGAGGAATGGAACCCAGGGCTTCATGCATGCTAGGCCAGCACTCTACCACTGAGCCACATTCCCAGCCTGGTGCACACTACTTAATATCTCGTTAGATAATATCTCCTAGAAAGCTTTAGGAGGCCAGAGGCCCCATTTGTATTTTATTTCCCCTCCAGTATCTTGGCCACTTGAACACTAATCTCTAAATGTACTTTCATCTTGCTTAATCAATACTCTTATAATTAAAGTATATGGAAAAACATTACTTTAATGGGCCTCTCCTTTTTAAACTACTATTGTCACCCCCCTT